ACAAAATGCAAATATATAGCATTTTGTTAATTACATCTAATTTGAGGTTTTTTTTTGGATTTTGGAGTTATGTGAAATCATTTTGAAATCTGAGGGGGTGTTTGTGTAATTTCTAGGACATTAGGGGTTATGTGAAAACACAAAAACCTCAAGGAGGTGTTAGTGTAAATAACGTTTTATTTTATGAATATTTTATTTTTATATTCCCATGCAACTATATGTTAATTGATACGCTTTCTATTCATGGTCTATATATAAACAAAGCATAAATTGTGAAATTTGAATTGAGATTCACTTGATGTGGATCCATATCAGATTCACTTGATTATTATATGATGACAAAAATATTAATTATTTAATATGCCTCTTTGCATGCCCTGTTAAAGTAATGTTTGAAATAGGAACTTTTCTATTTTGCCTTTAAACTTGAGTTTGATATAGGATCAAATGGCAATTTTTCTTGCGCGGGAGGGAGACAACCAAAGTTTATGGATTTGTAAGCCCATGTTCCCTCATATATTATTTTCAATTGATCAACTCTCTCTCTCTCTCTCTCTCTCTCTCTTATTTCCTTCAAGGCAACTTTTATTGAGATTGAGATATAAATGTTTGGATCTATATTCTACAGGGGGCACGAACACTAGCATGTCCTTTCTCACAATGTGCGATCTAAAGACGTCGTGGCATATTAGCCAATATATACTAAACTACAGGTTCTGCAAACCTCAGTTTTTTAAAACCGAAATCTGAAATCAATCCTTCAATCTCTTTGCAGGTCAAGAATTCATCACTTGACCCTAATTTTTAAAAATATTAAGGAACCCCAGTAACCTCCTTGAATTCCCTCTAAAGTCCCACTTGGGGTTTTCTGTTTCAACCAAATAGAATCACTATGGAAAATTGGAAATTGTAAATTAACCAGTTGATGGCTAAAAGTCTGAATTCAATCATAACCTAATTAAGAAGAAGTGGGCACTTGCATTTGATAATGAATGTGAATGATATGAGACTTCATTGGTGTTGGACAAGGTTGATGTGTTCATTGGTTGTATGTCTTAACCAATGTTTTGAAAGGCGAGGCGTTGATGCGAGGCGTTTTAGTCGCGCTATGCGAAGCGTAAATCTTGAAGTAGTGAGGCGTAAGTGTCACATCTCGGGATCGGCTCCGCCGTAGCACGATATTGTCCGCTTTGGGCCCCTCCTCTCTGGCCCTTACTGTTTTGTTTCTGGTAGTTCACGACCAACTTCCCAGTGGGTCACCCATCATGGGATTACTCTGGCCCCCAACTCGCTTAACTTCGGAGTTCCTACGACTCCGAAGCCAATGAGCTCCCAAAAGGCCTCGTGCTAGATAGATGTGAGTGTGCACATATAAGGCACATCACCCCCTCTTCGTTGGTCAATGTGGAATCTTACAATCCACCCCTCTTAAGGGTCCGATGTCCTCGTTGGCACACTCGCACCACACGGCAGAGTGACTCTGATACCAAATTGTCACATCTCGGGATCGGCTCCGCCGTAGCATGATATTGTCCGCTTTGGGCCCCTCCTCTCTGGCCCTCACAGTTTTGTTTCTGGGAGAAACTACCAACTTCCCAGTGGGTCACCCATCCTGGGATTACTCTGGCCCCCCAACTCGCTTAACTTCGGAGTTCTTACGACTCCAAAGCCAATGAGCTCCCAAAAGGCCTCGTGCTAGATAGATGCGGGTGTGCACATATAAGGCACATCACCCCCTCTTCGTTAGTCGATGTGGGATCTTATAGTAAGCCTTTTGAATATTAATTTATTTTAATAAAAAAATTTATGAACCCTAACTTGGTTCTAGTGGAAACTGCAACACAAAAACGACACCGTTAATTATAGCTTAAAACCCTAACCTGCACCCCCCAAAACCTTCATTTATGAAAGGAGGGAGAGATATGAGAATAAGTTATGCAGGCTTACCTTGAAAGTACCCATGTTCGAGAATTAGAGAAGACGACTATGATCTCTAAGGCCTCTCTCTCTCGCACTTCTCTACGATAAAAAGGTCTTCATTAATAGGAAACGTGTAGTGTTTTAAGAAAAGGTGTAGTGTGTGAGTTTAGTATACTATTGTCTTTTTTAATAGAAAAAGTTTAATAATAATTATAAATAAAAAAAAGATCTTCATTAAGAGCCTTTCTAGCGAGGAGGCCAAGCCAAAAAGTGCGTTCCAGCGGGCCTGTCTAGGCCGGGCAGGCTGTGGGTCCCACGGGATTGGGCTGGCCTGAAGGCAAGGCAAGCCCGAGCTCCAGCCTGAGTTTTCGTTGATGTCAGCCCTCGAGTTCAAATTTTTTTTACCGTTGGCGTGTGCAACGCCTGAGTTTCCACCAATGGCTAGTAGCCATGTGGCAGCCTCTGGCCTCTCCGATCGCTTTTTGTCCTCCAATCTAGCGGCAACCAATTTTTTTGCAATAAAATTTTGAAAAAAAATTCATATTTAAATATAAAAAAACCCAAAAATTAATGATTTTTTTTTCCATAAATACCAACCAATACTCTTCACTTTTAACATCAAATCCTCATACATTTTTTTCTTCTTCAACTAGTATTCACTTTATACTCAACATTCACTTTCAAATTTTATTTTTCTTTATCATTGTATTTTAATGTTTTGTTTTAAAAATTATTTGTAATTAATGTATTTTATTTAATTAGTAGTGCTTCTTAATTATTTGTATTGGTTTTCTTTGAGTCAATAAAAAAAAACAAACAAACCGGAACCAAAGCATTAAAAAAACCAAAAACAAAGCATACCTAAAAATAAAACATAACCATAATAAATTTAAAAAAAAACAAACCATAAGAAATTTATCTAAAATTTGAAACAAAAAATCTTATCCGAAAATTTTATCCGATTATGAGATATGAATTTTATAATAAATATTGACACATATAAGCTCAAAAATCTTATCCGAAAATATTATCCAAAATAATTGTTTAGGGAAAAAAATTTGTGAAAAAACAAAAAAATGAATAGTATTTTCCCTTTGCCACGGCAACGGATGGAAACACACATTGCTTTTTGCAAGGGCACCCACTATTCACATGTATAGTAGCTGCCCTACCCCACACCCCCCCGGCGTGAGGGCCAAAGGGCAAATTGGTGGAGTTGCTCTAATATTTAGGGTAAAAGGCCGGTGATGTGATGCTTTTTGTTGCCACATAATTAACTAGTAAATAATGTTTGTTCCATGTGCCTCATTTTAAAGATCTTATTAATGGTACATTTTTCATAATAATAAGATTTCTATGTTTAAACTTATATCAAAATAATAAGATTTCTTTTGTGATTTCTCAATTTCTCCCTCTTCTAGATTTGGCATGTAAAGATTAGCACACTCGTTCTCTCTCAATTTCAATATGCGGAGCCCGCCACTCTTGCATACCGTGTGTGTACAGTGTATGCATATGTTATTCTAACATATCCATTTGCTTCAATTCATTCTAACATGCGGAGCCCGGCACTCTTCCATACTCTTTGTGAAGTATGCATAATATCTTGCCATCAACACCCTTAGAACTTGCCATCCCTTGCCATTGGGCGACTGCTTTCTCTTCGTTGAGCTAAGCAACCCACAACAATCGGTTTGCCAGTTTTTTAGGTGATTTTTTTCACACTATATTCTAGACCATTGGATCAAATAATTCGAATCTGACCATTCAAAAGTTGATGTATCGATACTTGATGTATATTAGAAGCCCTTTGCAGGAGAAATTATATAATACTATTGTAGTACCCAGCAAATACATCTTCCATTCAAATATAGCCACATGTCAATTTTTGTATAGTCAGCCCTCCCATTCCGTCTCCTCCTCTACCATCTTCTCCCTCTGTTCTCTCTCTTCTTCTAGAGCGGCCCTATAGTTGAGCCCAACGTACATGATTTCATAGTTATTAGTATCCACAGTTCATGTCGAGTACCTGCATCTAGGTTAATGAATCACATCATGACAGGTATAGAATCCTCCAGCCATCTTCATAACAACAGCAAAGTTTATGTTAGTACATTATAATAGTACTTGCATCAAGTACACACAGACAAACACCCAAGGAATAAAACTCACTAAATACATTTTGTCACCAATTTTGGTGACTGTTGTGGGGGTTACTAAAGGCTTTAATCAAATTTTTTGACTTTTTTGGTGACTAAAAAGGCTTTCAGTCACCTTTTTTGCTTTTTTTAGTGACTAAAGCCTTTAGTAACCCCCACAACGGTCACCAAAATTGGTGACAAAATGGTAACTGTTGCCACTTTTTTTTGTAGTGTGGTGATTGATTGACAGTTAACTAGAGTGGATGGGCTCTCTACTTTGCATTCGAGTTCGAATTTCCCTTCTTCATAGTTTAGATTAATTTAAACCAAATTATCGCTTGTATAAAAAAAAAAATCAATATTTTCTGGTTCTTGCTTCCGTATTAGTTAATTCATGTTGTAAATTTGAAAATGCATGAATGACACAATTTATCTCAATTTGAGCCATTATGCAAAATAGGGGGCAGTTTTGTGATTTTGAGGTTGAAGTTGAAGGTGTTGAAAACTCGACCCATGAAAACATTTCTAAAGGGGGCTCTAAATTGGGCTCAACCACCATTGAGTTTCACAGTTGAACTTGAAGCCCCTGAAACTGGGCTCAGACTATAATGAGGGGTAAGTTATAAGGTATAGTCATTGGATCAATCCAAGGGCTGGGGAGAATTGGGATAAAGTTGTGCAATCGGGTAGGTGAGGAACCCAAACCCGAATTTAATATCCAGCAATGAAGTTGGTCAAAAAACAAAAAAAAAAAAAAACAAGTTCGAAGTTTGAACAGAAAAAACCCATTGATCTCAAACTCATAGCTCAGAGAAACCGCTAAGCTCTGAGAAACGGTTGAAGGCAAAGGTTAACGACGGTTGAACGCAACTCCACTATCTAAACCGTGAAAAAGTATTTATTTTGAGTGGAAGGAGCAAAGGCGTGGATTCTGAAACAATGAAAAGACGAAGCAGTGGAAGGGGAAGGAGAGAAGCCGTATTCGTTGGAAGTGATAGGTTCCATTTGTGGAGCAAAGCCGCACAAAGACCCAACACAGACACCTTGCGATTGTTCAATAACCAGCATTTGGTGAGTAATTTATGGAATTTGAGTTTAGGGTTAGAGTAACCGTTTTCCCCAATTTGTACCATGAAAGTTGTTAGATTTGGCATCTCTTCTTTGTGCTTCACTTGCATGTTAATTTTTGCTTGGGTATATGTTAAAAAACGAATGAAAATAAAGTCAATAACATGTCAATAATGATATGAATAAGGTAATGGTGTTGAATTGGAGGAGGCCCTCAAAACCTTCCACATTTGAAGCAGTGCAGAGTGCAGATTATCTCTCTGGCGCTAGAATATATATAATTTTTGAAATAAATATTATTTCCGTTGTTACTAAATTTGCCTGTTAAAAATGAGAACAGATAATAATAAACTCATGAATAAAAGTGCAAAGCATTTGAAAAAAGGTTGATCTATGACGATTATGGCTGACTGAAGAAAAAGCTAGAAAGAAAGAAGGATGTGGCAATGGCTTAGCGAGCAGATAGCAGAGCAGATGCTTTGCTTTGCTTCCTTCCACCATCTTTCTTATTTATTTATTTATTTTGTGTTGTGTATGATATGACAATAATTGTCAAGTGTGTGAAGTGCAGAACTTGCCTAGATTGCACTCACACTCACTCATGCATCAACCATTGATTGGAGTTTGGATCCATAAATAAAACACATGCTATTGCTTGTAATTCACAGAATCATTGCATTAACAGGTATTTGCACAAAATATGTCATATTGCTTTGATGATGTTAAAGCCTGTGATCAGTAATCCCTATGCGCATGTACTTTGTAAAATTTGTAATGTGCTGGTTGACTAGTTGTGTAAATACCAATGTGATTGTGCAAATACGTGGTAGTATATGTGTTCACGTTATTTCATCTTGTATTTCAGGAAATGGGATCCAACGTGGAGCTGGTATGGCCAGAGTCAGAGGCATATTCCTCACGGGTGAACAACTGCTCACATGCAAATTCATCCCTAGCTGTAATTCGAGCGAAGTTGAGTGCCGAACAATTAGAACAATTCAAGACATCATGCTTTGGCCATCTTCTGAATATAGATAAGATTCAGTTTAGCGGGCAGATTGTGCATGGGGTTGTGTTGCGTAGAGTAGCGGGGCAGGGTGTGAAAGACTTGGATGGACTGAGTTTCTTAATAGGGTGCGACGTTGCTCAGTTCACTCGTCAGGATTTCTGTTTGATCTCAGGGCTTCGTTTTGGGGAAGTGCCTGAAGTTTTCAGTGGAGAAAGTGATGAAATTAGACTTCAGAAAAGATATTTTATAGACGAAGGAATTACATGTAATGCTTTAGAAGAAGCATTTGTGAGGTGCACAGAGGAAGATGACGTCTACAAGCTAGCTCTTGTTTACTTTGCTGAGTTAGTGGTTTTGGGAAGGGACAAACTTTTGAACATCAATCTAAATTACCTGACCCTTGTAGAGGACTTGGATGCGTTCAACAGGTTTCTATGGGGTTCGGTGTCGTTTGACAAAACCCAAGACAGTCTGTTTTCTGCACCAACAAAGTATGTGAAAAGCTTTGAAAATGAAGAGGGAAGACGGAAGGGGAAAAGTAAGGTAACCGGAACAAGCCGGAGAAATGAGAAGGGCAAGAAGGATAACCATGGTGAAGTGCAAATGGGTGGCTGGAGTTTTAAAGGTTTCACGTATGCTTTCCAGGTACACGGTAATAATGTTCATGTCGTTATGTTTTGTTGACTTTAAAACTTAAATAATAACTTGTGTCTTGTGAATTGTGTAGATTTGGGTATATGAATTAATTCCTAGAATGGCGGACCTGAATTACTGCAAGGTTGTTGATCCGACAGCTCTCTCGCGTATTTTGCGATGGAGAACTACTACGTCTGTTCCCGAGATGAGAAAGTTGAACAATTATTTTTTCCAGAGCAAAGAGGTTTGGTTTGCAGCCCTTGGAACTATTTATAAGATTCAATGAAATTATGAAGTAGAATGATTGCATATGACTCTTGTCTATTTTCTGAAACAGTCAGTTCAGTTGCGGGCGCTATGTCCAAGTGAAGAGGAAATGAGACAACCATATTGGAGTTGGCCACAGGGTCGCCCTGTTGTTGTCTCGGCAGAGTCAATTCCTTCTTCATGTGCTGACCTTGATGAGTTGAACAAGGCGGTAAGCTTGTTGAGGTCCGAGTTGTTTCAAGTAAAGCGGGAAAAGGACGTCCTTGAGTTAAAGGTCATACGGATGGAAAAAATTTTGGACCACTGTTTAGGTCCTCATTTTGTGCAGGAAATGAGAAGGGACATAGCTTTACTGAAAGAGAGGACGAATCGTTGTGTCGTGTCACATCTATTTAAGGGATATGAGGAAGTGAATGGCATGCAATGGGATGAAGGGCCAAGTAATAGAAATGAAGGAGAGGAAAATGAAGATGAGGACATTGAAGGGGGTGAAGGGCCAAATAACAGAAATGAGGGAGAGGACAAGGAAGAGGAGGGGATTGAAAGGGGTGAAGGGGCAAGTAAGACAAATGAGGGAGAGGAAAAGGAAGAGGAGGGGATTGAAGGGGGTGAAGTGCCAAGTAAGAGAAATGAGGGAGAGGAAAAGGAAGAGGAGGGGATTGAAGGAGGTGAAGTGCAAAGAAAACCAAGGGAGGTAGAGGAAGCTCAAAGGAAAAGAAGTGAGGGAGAGCAAGTGAAAATAAAAAGCAGCAAAGGAGAGGAAGTGCAAAGAAAGAGCATTGAGGGAGAGGAAGAACTGCAAAGAAAAAGCAGTGAGGGAGAGGAAGAAAAAAAAAAAAAAAAGAAGGGCAAGGAAGTGAAAAGACAGAGAAGTGAGGAAAAGGAAGTGCAAAGAAACCAATGTGAGGAAGAGGATGATGAAGTTATGTTGGTTGGCGATGACATTGGCGAGAGCACGGAGGGGACAAAGGTTGAGGTTACTCTTGGGGACATTGATTTGGATCAACCTACAGCTGTGTTATCTCAGTTGAACGTTTGGTTGAATGATGAAGGTCAAGGTGTGGAACGAGGGGTCCAATTACGAAAGAGGAAGAGGATTATTCCTATGTGGAAGATCGTTGAAGCTAGTGAAGTGGTTCAAAAAAATTTGCCAAAGACAACCGGACTTCGGACGTTAGACCCAATGAAGGCGATTCCGCATGATGATATGGTGAAATTGCTGAAACTTTGTTCAGAATGGCGCCATAACCCAAAGTAAGTCCTTTGTTTTTTGAGATAGAAGGCATGAGTGTATATATTTTTTAATTGTTGTGTTCTAAAACTTTTTTATATTCATAGTTTGGTGATGAAATTTGGCAACATGGAAGCTAAGATTGAATTCTTCGCTTCCCTCGTCAAAGCTGACGGTTGGCTGAAAGGAGATGTAAGTTTTTTTTTTTTTTTTTTTTTTTTTTTTTTTTTTTTTTTTTTTTTTTTTTTTTTTTTTTTTTTTTTTTTTTTTTTTTTTTTTTTTTTTTTTTTTTTTTTTTTTTTTTTTTTTTTTTTTTTTTTTTTTTTTTTTTTTTTTTTTTTTTTTTTTTTTTTTTTTTTTTTTTTTTTTTTTTTTTTTTTTTTTTTTTTTTTTTTTTTTTTTTTTTTTTTTTTTTTTTTTTTTTTTTTTTTTTTTTTTTTTTTTTTTTTTTTTTTTTTTTTTTTTTTTTTTTTTTTTTTTTTTTTTTTTTTTTTTTTTTTTTTTTTTTTTTTTTTTTTTTTTTTTTTTTTTTTTTTTTTTTTTTTTTTTTTTTTTTTTTTTTTTTTTTTTTTTTTTTTTTTTTTTTTTTATCTAATCTTAGCGAATCAAGCATCCTGACTGCAAGTTACTTCTTTACAGACTGTATTAAAGCTGTTTGTAAGTTTGCCGAGCCTGCCTGTCTACCGCCCCCCACCTTCCTTCTGATTGTGCAAATATTTGTTTTTTTGCACGGCCACCTGGCACCCATTGAAGGGATATCTAACCCAGCGCGAACTTACGCCCGATGCCACAGAGAAAATGCCTACGACCCCCCCCAATACACTCTGGTGTAGCTCTCCACGTTGCTCGGCCCACCCAGCATCTACTCACCAATCTGGACACAAGCACGATATTTTAAACTCCCACTCGGCCTCCCCCTCACGAATCGGTTGGGCAGGGAATTAGCACGATACACATCTCTTCTAGTTACAGTTAAAATTTTGCTAACCTAATTGGTGCATCTTCTATTCAAATAGCTTCAGGGCTTACAAAATTATTTGTTGTCGGAACCTTCACGAGCTCTAGTCCCACGCATCAAACATCAAAAAACTTGACAGCCTACTATCAGCCATCTCCCCGGCCCATTGACCTTGCTGGAGTGGACGCGCCCTCCTTCCTCCAACCGAATCTTTGCAGGGAAAACTTGTGTTTTTTCGCTTGTTTTTTTTGCTGTTAATTTTCAGGTAAATGTTGTGCTACCTGACGTACACGTTGAAGGCCCGCCAACTTCTACAGGACGACCCATACGTACCAACCCCCGTTCTCCTCCTTCCCCTCCCCCTGCACGCTGCCAGCTGTTGGAAAGTCACCCCTTTTCAGGACACTGACAACACAACCCCACTTACAGGATCACACCAACACAAACTCCCAATATCCACCCCCATATTAACCACTATATACATGGTTTTTGTTTAGAGCACTGTACCACACCCCAATATTATAGATTTTTATAACAATATCAAGGGCAAATTATGTAGTTGGACCATAGAACTAAACTAACTTCGTTTCTTTGATTGGACGCAATCTTATCATGAAAGCCTATATCAAGTAGTCATCCACTTTGTAATAGGATCCAAATGGTTTATATTGTTGTATTTTATATTGGTTCAATAAACCCATATTGGAAGGACATTGGCTTAAGAACTTAAACATTCTTAGTACACCCTCGTCCCCGCACCGGCTTTCGTGATTGTTCAATGTAAAAACTATGTTAGTGGTTACTAAGGAAGTAACGTGTAGAAACCTTTTCAAATAAATTTATTTGAATGCTGCCTGGATTCGTTGTGACCCATAGTACTGCTGTGTAGGCCAAGCTTCTGTATAATGTTTCCTTTACTGAAGAAGATTAGATTGAGCTGCAACCCCCCCAATGACAGCTCATGATCAAAAGCAGATTGTAAGTATTTGGTTATACTGCTGAGGTGCCCCCCGCCCTCTTCCCCGTAGTGAAGGTTGGAAAAGCATGTTTGCTGAGAAGAGCAAAGGAAAAGGACAGCTTCTAGATGAACGTGGCCCTTCGGGTACAATTAAAAACTGAACCTTGTTTTATTCACTACAGTAGTTTAATGAATCTGGTCGTTTTTCAAATCAATATGTAAACAATTGTTTTGTAGCCGATAGCAATCATTCACTTAAAGTCAGTGTCTGTTCATCGGCTACTTTAGATAATTAGTTTTTTCAATTAACATAGATGAGATCTTAGATTTCTTGTGTTCAGATAGGAAACATACATTTGTATTAAAAATAAAAGAAAGATGGAAGGCACCCTTTGCAAGATCTTAGAAGGTAAACTTTTCTCAATGTGGTAGAAATTTACCAAGCACGTGAAAAAAGGAAAGCCCGCATTGATTTTTTCTGCCTCACCAAACTATGTAAACTAACGACCGTCGCTCCTCCAATCAGGGTACAACATTTATACAATTTTTCTTCTGTATGATCTCCCGTTTATGGTCTCACAAACCCCATACTTTATCTCGCCCTGTGTGCCTTCTTTATTGATTCATGAATGTTCATCCAATTGTGACTTTCCGACCATGAGTGTCTAATCCTATCACCCCATGGTTTCTCAGGTATCGATTAGGACGTGCTTACAATAAACGCGCTTTCCTATAAACCTACAATAAAGAAACACATATTATGTTCTTCAACTGATATTGATCCGGGTCATTGGCCTTATTTGAAGGACTACTGGTTGCGTTACGCTTTCAGTTAGAATTCCTTATGGTACACGCCTAGATTCACAGCCTTGCCAGGCTTTGAACTACCGTTTGGCTTCGAGCGGCCTGGTGGGTACGATCTTTCGTCTTCCTACACCGATACCCGTCGAAGCCTACCATCTTTCATTAGTTATTATCCCTCACCACCTTCCGCGTTCCACCCTACAATACATCCACGGAAACCACGCAAGTATGCCGCACCTTTTGTTTCCATATTGCCTCAGTTTTTTCATTATGGAGTCAGTCTGAAGTTGGTATTAACAACAGGGAAGGCCGCCGGCGAACCATCCTCAATATTCATTGCCCGACTAAACTTTTGCAGATTGCTTCATCCCAAGCTATGGTCTCCGGTAATTCGCCGCCCCTTTCCCGCATACTGTGCTCTGCCACCTTGTGCGGGAGTGTGGAGGATCTGCTCCAGCTCAGGCCCCCACATCTGCCGGCGCAATGACCTAGCCTGCTCCCGACCAGCCCTTATTTTTACTGGGTGAGATCCGCGCGGACTGTCCTGCTCCTCTTCGTTTCGCCAAGTACTATTTCAAAGTGCTTGTTGCTCGCTTTTTGCTGGTGTTTTCGTGTCCTGTTCATGTCTCTTCGCTTTCCGATTTGCCCGTTTCACTTCTTGATCGCGCCCCGCCTTGCTCTCGCCGCATCTGCGTCGTGTACTGGTGCGATCATCTTGCTCCGCCGGAATGTGGATACTCGGGCCATAGATTTCCTCCTTTTACTCCCCTGTTCCTCCTCCTCCCTCGACGTCCTGAGTTCTTTGCAGGCTGTGAGATTTCAAGGACGATTACTTGAGCTGTCTCACTCACTTCCCGAGCGGACATCTTGTCTGCTGAGGAACGCAATACTTCTCAACCGCCTTCCTCCGTCCTGGCCTTTCATTCTCCATGTAGAGGCCCGCGCATCTGGCTCCCCCTCCCTCTCTCTCAGCTGCCCCTTCGTTCAGGTTCGGTCTGATCCTGCCTGCCTTACATGAGGTCTGAGCAATCACTTGCGCTAAGTTTCCTCATTGCGGTGATTTTGGCCCCCATCTATGGGCAAGTTGTTGCTGCTTCAATTCTTTCCCTGACGTGCCCTGCCCCTCGGCTAGCCCCGGCCGACCGGACGCGCTGCGCTCTTTCTCCCTGGGGCTAGTCTCCCCCGATCTTTGCAACAAGGCCCGTTCTCACAATATACCCCTGCCATCCTCAAGTAGTGCCCTGGATTCTCTTACTTGCGCCTAAGGAAAACAGCCCGCACGGCACCGCATCCCTGCGACTCGACGCGCACTTGATCTGTCCGGTCCGGGAAAGCCCGCCCTGTCCCGCCCCGGGTCTTGCAGTCCCATTTCCCCGTTTTCCAGGTCCTTTTTCCCGTCTCTTACCTATGCTACATCCTGACGACGCCTCTTGTTGCATTCCCTCCACTGACAACCCATGCCTTCTCTTCATGTGTTGCACACACAGGGTCTCCTAAGTGTCTCGTTCCCTTGCCATTGGCATTGCTTTCCTTTGTACCAGCGATCCCCTCGGAGTAGGGCATCTCGCCGCTGGCGCGGCACCCGGCACGTGCGTGGAGCTGTTGACGTATGCGGATCTGGTTATGTTGCTGTTGCATGGGACCGCTACCTCCGATCGATTGTTGTAGATGTCTGTAATGGCCGATGTCACAGACACAGAGATGGCAGAAGCAGCTTTGAAAATATTGTTCTCATCCGGCCCTGACAACCGACTTCTCCTGGACTACTCACCCGTGTGTTGTTCTCCGCCAGAAACAACAGCTCGCCAGAAGTTCTCTCCACCCGCACGATGTCGCATGGCTTGTATGTTACTTCAAGCCTAGTAGCCCCCGCAAATCCTGCGCCCCCACTGCCAGGCAATCACTCATACGTAATCCCCACATTGGTCCCGAGCATTTTCAAGTACGGCAGGCCATCGCACGTGAACAGACTCTTCGTTCTTAACAGCTAGACACCCTAGACGAGTTGTTTGTTTCACTTCTGGAGTCACCCGGCTTCGCGGCCCCGGACACGTGTCGGAATTAGCACTCCTCAAATGAATGCCGCGGACGAGTCAAAAGTCGGGACGAAGATGACCTTCCCCCTTTTTTTTCTTGGTTGTCTGTGCAAACTACTAGCCTGGTACCCGATTCGTTAAGCTTATCATCTGCTAGCATGAGGCAGTTCTATCTGGCGTAATGGGAGGTAAATGGGCTTGTATAAGCCTGCATCATTACTGTGTTCAAATTGATTATATACATGCAACTCCGGGACCACGAGCTAAAGTAGAAATAGAGTTCAGATTATTTTCTATTTTTGGGGTAGTACTTCTCATAACTTATGCGGAAGTTGACACGCGAGGTTCGGATTAGGAAATGAAATAACCGAATAATATCTTTCCATTAGAGGATGTCCTGAAATTTATTGTTTGACAAAAGCAAACAAGTCTGTCGCACCGACAAATACAAGTTGACGAAAACCAAATGCCCAAAATGGGTGATAAGTCGTCGTTAGTTTACCCCATAAGTGTCACCATCAGAAGGTCAGGTTGTAAAAACAATATGTTAGTGCCTTAAAAATACATAATCAGTAGGTGCATGTTGTGGTAACGAAAGAATATGCGCTAGCAAGATAGAAAGCAAAAACTCTCATAGAAAACTTATACTAACAGACTCAGGCTCAATCTACAATAAGACACACCCACAAACCAAAACCCATCGTATCTTGAGAGAAAAAAAAAACATTTCAAATTCCTACTCATCGGAAATGGATATTGAAGCAGCTCGGCAGCCTTCGAAGCACCTTGCCCCAAATTTGTGGTAAGCATGCTGCAAAACCAGAACACATCAAAATAGTTAGTACGAGAACTAATCGGCCATACCTATTTAAAAACCTAGAAACATAATCATGAGGCTGCCTCCCCCCCTCCTTGTATAAAGATTTAAGACGAGGCAAACCCATAAATTTTATGAGCTGCTTCACGCAACACATTTAGAGGTCTCCCTCACTGTTAGTGGGATCTAGGATCGTATGTATGCGTCTTCAGGAAAATATTGCCTATTATCTGCTAGGGGACAGAACTCAATACTCTACTGACGACCTTTCATCGTTGACCTAGGTGACTCAAATTTATCTAGGTCCGGTGAAGCGATTATGGTTTTTATGTGGGGTCACAATGTATGCGACTTTACTTCTGGGACGAAAACAATGTCCTATTTTGTCCAGTACAGGAAAAACTAATAATATGAGGCACGAAAGAACTTGCTCGACGTCCACGGAGCTACTTGGAGTCGTAAGGAGCATAACGTCCTTTTGATACTGCCCGCTCGGACACGTAGAGACGCCGGATGGGTGGACCCCGGACGTTGCAGGCCCAGCGAATCTTCACACTCTAGTTAACCATCTCCACCTCGACTCGACACACATGCACAGGCCAGCCGATCTTTTCGACTCCTCATTCACCTCCAAATCGCCGCAGTATCATCCTCTTTGAAATCGGTCTGGAATTATGTAGAGCTGCAGAGCCAACATGAAGCATGCCTCTACTCTACTGAACTACAAAAGGTTTTAGCTTTACCCATGATTCCTTACCCGATGCAAATTTCCATCTTTACGGCTTGTGCAAAACACTGCGATGGGTTGTCCATATTAAGATTTATTTGACGCCCTCCGGTGCTGATGATGCAAGTAGCCAGAGGGCCAATCCCTTGTTCTCCAACAGTTCAGGGATTCAACACAAAACTCACAGTTACCACTTGGCTCCGACAAATTCGTACGACTGTGAACCACTTGAACTCCTTCCTGGAAATATAACTCCAACTTTAGATGCTGAGGAAGAGAGACATGATGTGAGAAAAATCAGTTGCCGCCTGATCATTCACTAAATTGTGATTATCTCTCCAGACAAGCCAGCGTCCCGATCACGACCGAGCGTCCTTCACTGGAAAGACTGATAAGTGAGGCCTACGTAATCCATTTGCGATCTTCGTTCCCACGTTTCCCAAATGGAGAAGAACAGTTTTGAAAAATCTTTCCAAGTGAATGGCAAACACTCACTACTGCCAGTAAAGGTCACTTTTGGTGGAAGTTCTGAATTCTTCAGCGCACAACAGCCCAGGGAAAGCCCAGTCTGCGTAAACTGACAAAGTTGGATAATGGAGTAGAGGCGCGTAAGATAACAAGCGTGCTACCTCTGAAAGGTCTTTTTTACTTTCAGTAGCACCACGCACGACAACAGGAGCCGAAGAAGAAACACCACTCTACAACGAGATGTCGCCCACTGAGACACATCTTAACCCAAGACATGCCTTAATTTGGTGGAGTTTCGGATTTCCGAAAGATCTTGCAAAAATCATATATAAAGGGGGAAAGTTGTGACACAAGTTGAAAATTTGCTAAGCATTCGGAAGACTAACAAAATTGCCTCCTGAAAGATTAGGTATGTATTTAATGTCGGTAGACAATCAGATTACCAAGAAAAGCACTTTTGATAAATTACATCCCCCCTATTGAGTAAACGTAGCTGGGAAGAGCAAATTGCCTTCAGACTCATTTTCAGGCTTCACCTTATTTGGAAATGTGACAAGTTTTGGACAATCCATTAATAAAATCGCTGCAGATGTTGCAACTCATAAATGTGCCGCGGTAGATGGCTAAGGTTTTCACATTGATATAAACTCTAAGTCTTGAAGATTAACGAGATATCTAATTGATGAAGGCAACTCTTTGATGGCAGTGCCGGATAGATTCTTCTTGTTGTGCATTCCATCTTTGCCAAAATTTCGGGGAAATACTCAAGCTTTTTGCAATCATAAGAATAGTAAGTGTCAGAGATTTCAACTTGACTCCTCTTGGAAACCTAGTGAGATTAAAACAATCAACAAGTCTCAATATGGCAAGCTTATCAAGGAATCCAACAGATGAATGCACCTCAACTAAACTTGTACAGAAGTTTAGATCCAACTCCACTAAGCTTGAGAGTCCAGAGAAGTCGGGGATTTTTGTTAGGAACTTGCAACTTTGAAAACTTATATGTTTAACGTTGCCAGACTCTGTAACATCAAAAAAATAAAAAAGAAGAAAGCGTCACATGATAAGCTTTAAAGAAATTTACAACATGCACAAACTAAACTTCTGAAAATAACAACGGATAGGTAACATTTAAAATACCTTGAATCCATTCCCCAGTTGTTCGATACGACTGTCACGCAGTTTGAGCTCAACAAGTTTCTTTGGATTAAAGCTGGAAGGCAAAGCTTTTAATGGACATTCAGGCCAATCAAGGAATCTCAAATCATTGGAGATAACCAACTTCTCCAGAGAAGTGTGCGTTACAGTTTATGAAAAGTTGAAGATTTTTCATCTTTGTGAAGCTTTTAGCACTCAGGCGTATCTCATATGGTTCCGGCAAGTTTACCATAATTTTTTGAATAGTGTCTGTTCCCTAGTATGAAAAAGCGAGTATTAGCAAAGCAAGTTCCTTATTAAATTTATAAACATGAATCCCCAAATTCTACAATGGGATTTAAATAAAACTTACATATATATAGGTATATGTATATTCTACTTACTGTATTTTCAGTTAGAACACGGTAAACATCTTTGTGAAACCACAATCTGCTACGCTTTCCAGGCTCATTTGGCGATTCGTGACGAACTATTTCTCTACCCCTTCTTCGACCAAGTCATGCATGCAAATTCTATTACATGATCAACATATAGGAGAGCCTTTTCTATGAGTACTTCAATACCATAGATAGGGTTGAGATCACACCCTTCTAGCATGTTTATCACATAGTTCTTACCTTTACCCTTTAAAGAAACATGCAATGTCAAGGAAACTTCTTTCACCGGATATTCTAGTGCATTGTAGCTTATTTTCAGAACTTCATGAATCTCTTCAATAGGAAATCTTGGTTGACTTTCTAACATAGTTTTCCATTGATTTAAACTTCGACCACAAAGATGTGAACCTAAAACCATAAGAGCTAACGGAAGGCCTTGGGCGTAGTCTACTACAGTTTTTGTGAGTTTCATATAATCATCCTCCGAATTGCTATTTCTTGTGAAGCCATTCCAACTGATGAAGAGCTTAAGAGCTTCAGAACTATCTAATTCCTTGACCTTGTATATAAAATTAACTTGATGAGCAGTAGCAAATGTTTATCTCTTGTCGTTATGATAATTCGGCTGCCGAAACCAAACCAATCAAGCCCTCCTGCAAGTTTTGTTCAACTGGTCCAAATGATTCACATCATCAAGAATTAAGAGAACTCTTTTATGTTTCAACCTTTCCTTTATCACATTTACTCCTCTATCAACACTGTTCAATTCAATTCTTGTTCTCCTAGATCTCAAGAAGAAGAATCTTTTGTAGTTGGACGAGGCCTCCATATGGCATTGGATAGTCTTTAACATTGCTAAAAAACAGCTGGCTTCAAACTTAGAGGAAATTGAATTGAAAACGCTTTAGCAATTGTTGTCTTACCTATTCCACGATCCCCCATACCCCTACCATGCGAACATCATTTGCCCCAACACCTAAAGCTTATGAATCTTGCCGACGACTCTATGCCCACGGGACTTTGCCACATTCAAGATAGTTCTGGTGATACTTGTACAGAAATTTCTTCTTCAAACAATGCACTATAAAATTAGATTCATGGCTGCAAAGTTAAAAGCATATACAGTTAATGAATTGATCTTGCGTTCAGTGGGCGGAAAACAACTAGGCGAGTACCCTCTTAGGATTTTTTTAGACACACACATATAGGTCTTAATACTTTCATTTTCACAATCCCTCGTCCCTCTTTGATAAAAAAGTAGCATGGTATTGAAAATCATGAAACATCGATGTATATATCGCGATATCTTTGTTCCCAACATGTCTGTCGATACAAGAAGCGCTAGGAGCCTTGGAATGGGGGTCAAAAAGTAGTATAGGGGCTAGGTTCAACCGATTATAACCCCCCCAAAAAAAAGTACCATATATAATATATCTTTGTAGAGCAGCAACCTATAACAGCCTCCGTCGCGAGCTACGACCCGTGCACACACGATCTGGGTTCTATGTGAAAAAGCTCAATCAGAAGTACGATATCACTCTAACTATAGAAACCACAGCTAGTAAGCTAGATTGTAGGTACAGAAAGATACCCGTCAAGAGAAAGCACTACACCAGAAAATCTGCTCTTGAACGGCGTAAGCGCCCTCCATATCTTTCCTTCCTTGTTATCTTTGAAAATTGCGTTCATGGTGGGCAACGGGCCTTCCAAAACTACCTCTTGGTGTCCATTGATGGATCCACTTATAAAAACAACCTTGCGCCAAACAATTTGTTGCTTCAATTCTTTATCACCGAGGATGTATCGCGAGTCGTCACCTACAAGAGCCCCAACACCGGTTGGAAGTGTGCTCTGCGTAGTTTCAGAGAAACATGTTTCCTGAAATCCGTGGACTTCAAGAGCTTTGAGACTTGCCCCGCTGGTAGCCTGGCCATTCTCCTCTTCTCAGCTCTAATTCTGCAGGTTTTGTCCCTTGATCATTCTGTGCACATGGCCATGTAAACTTGTTCCGTGTTCTCACCCCGAAACCCAGAACGCATCATCTGTCCCTGAGGTGCGTACCACATGCGCGACCGGGCCCTTGAGTGGTCGTTGCTCCACCCTAAACAACCACGAGTACCGGACTTTGTGGCCTGCCAGAGTACACAACAAACAGGCGCGCTGTTGGGGAATGGCCTGTCTTGTCCCAGCCCCTATACCTTTATTCGGCCTCAGTGGCTCTGCTGCTTAGCGCTTCATCATATACTGCCCCCAGCAGCCCCGGCCCTACGCCCGAATCCGAGCTCTCTCCCTCCTCGCATCACGACTGTGACCTACGTCCCACTGCTCCGATCCGGCCCGCCACCCCCTCCACCCCTCCTCTAAGCGCGGGACGGACTTCTACCCAATTCGCGCAGCCGTGGTCGACTTGGGGGAGCTGCCTATCTGAGACATTAATATGACAAGTCTACCCCCCTGCTATGCTGCCAACATACAGACACAAACAACCTTGAAGCTCTTCGCACACCAAAGCAGGCCCTCAACCCAACCCTTGATCCGTTTTCCTCTCCCTATTGTGGGGATGTTACCAACCAGCGCAGAGAACCTGCGGGACGGGCACGCCAGAGCAAACCGACCCACCCAGCCAAGAATAGAGCCGTGCAGGGTCTATCAGAACCTGACTTCAGCATGTACACACCGAGGAAAGAGGAGATGCATTAAAATCCCATATGACCTATTGCCGCACCCCGTCGCCTATGTGCCGATACCGATTTCTGAATGTTCCCTGAACTGGGACATAGTCCTCAGACACCTCGAGAGACCAGTAGCACCCAAACTGGTAGCGCATGAAAGTTTAAGCACTTAAACCAATAAAACCCTGAATGGATAATGCGCGTTCCATAACAGGGCCAATAGGTCAGGCAATTCTCTGCTGATGTAATGATCAAAAGTTACTTGAAATCGGGTTATAGCAATTTCATTCCAATAGTAGTCTGACAGAGTTTAAAGGCAAGACTTAGGAGGTCCTTGAGGCTCAAGTAGGGGCCAGGCGGTGATTAAGAATCGCCCTATAGTCTTATTCTCATGGAAAGTTTCGTTCGCCTTTATTAAGGAAAGATGGTAATATGTTACCCATCTATTTCTTTCTGGCTTACTGTAATTAGTGTTCACACGCGAGATAGGACGTTTACATTTCAACTGTTGGCAAGGGCGGTAGGCACAATGTACCGAGCACAGAAACTTGTGCAAGAGAATCAATTTTCATGTTGTGAAAGGACCTGATGCAGCGCTGAAAACACAGGCCTTTGCGCGCCCCGCCAAACCGGCGAACTCTCTACACCTCGCTTGCCATGCACTCACACACTCAATTCAGTTCCACCCTACGCAGCACGTAGACCAGCAACGAGAAGCAAGCAGGATCATGGCAACGAACGCTAAGATTTAATAAAGCCACGAAAGACCGACAGAAAAACTGATTAAGGCGACAACGGAAACAGCGATGGCTTCAAATACCGAAAAAACAAGAAATCCCCTAAAACATCGGGAGGAAAACCCTTAGCACACTCTACGCAGCCTACCCCCAAACAGTGCTCAACGGATAATGGATACATAACACACTTACCTAATAAGATAACTAACTTCAAACGTGAATACAGGCGAAGTAAATGAACTACAACTCCTGATTGATAACTTATCCTAAAAAAAGATTATAAAATAATTGAAATCTCTACAAGAATCAAGCAACTAAAAATCCCAATGATACGCGGTGTGAAAGCTCTGTTTGTGTCTAGAGTAAAACTGGTGTCGGCCACCATGGGAATCGCAAGATGGGTTGAGACAGCTCTCCTACGGTGATTCTGAATTGTACCATAATAAGCCGGAGGGTTCAAATAACGCATCTCCTCCTTCACGTATGTTGAAACATGAAAAGTGTCCATAAAATTCGACATAAAAGATATCATCCTCTTTGGGTCGAAAGCATAGCAACATTATCTCATCGTGCCAGCAGCCCTGATCTCTCCATTTCCTGTATCACTGGATTTGTGAAAACATCCGTTCAGGGAATTCTGCGTACTACAAGCCATTGCTATCGTTATCAACCTGATCATTCTTTCAACTCAAACACTCGTGATCCACGACTCTATCTCATTATTTCGCTGCTGAACTGGCACATTAGCAGACGCATTCGGACTCCTCCACTCACACACAATAGGAGATCAATGTTGCAGCGACAGGGACGATCATCTTAAGGCTTATCAATGAACGACAGTCCGTTATATTTTTTTATCAATTATGTGGTGAATAGGGATCCAAACCAATAAAGAGCCAGCACTACTGCCTATCGTACAACATTCCATTGTAAGCAAAACGCCTTCTGTCTTACATCCAGATCGAATATTCTTGGGCATAACAATTGTTTTGTCCATTACCAGTTCAGAAAGAGGGAAAATCTTGCTTTGAATGACGGAACCCCCGGGAGATTCAGGGAATGATACGCACAACCCTGTACTATACTCAGTATCAACATTGAATAATGATGCTTTACCTAGTACTAGTTTCTTCTTTGCTTGGTCAGCATCTTCCTTGCATTCCTATAGGAGGGATCACAGCAGATTGATCCAAACACTATCTGTGGCATTGAGGAGGAGAAGGAAAAGCGCTTTCCCTGCGTGGGGTATGCATTGCACAAGGTGTAATCCCGTTGAAACCGCATGGTTGCACACCATAAAACTAAGTCGTTCTATGTTCTAACACCATTGTTTCACCCTCTTCTGTCTTGATCGGCCCTTGAACACAAGGGAGATCTCAAAGCGAACTTGAGTTTTCGGGTTGGAGGCTGCTTGACATGGAAAAGAACTGCTTGTGCACTTTGATTTTGCAGAATCTCTCTGTGTCTGGATTTGTGAGTAGGCTCGGACGTGGCATTGGGTTTTGGTTATCCATTTTGTTGACGTCGAAATCGGCCAACCAAATAGGGATTTAACGCACTCCCCCGTTCGCCACCACCGTGCATTGCACTCATCTTCACGGGGAGTCGGCCAACGCGATTGCAACAATCGAAATCAGAGCGATCATCAAGCTTGAACAGGTGGGGGTTTTGATATATATCCGTTTCCATGGCCGATGTTTTTTTTCCACTCTTTGTCCTTGGACTCGCCGCGGGTCACGGCTGAGTATTGTAGTGTTTGTGCAGTTCGGTTTTCTGTCGTCGCCGTAGCTCCCCCTGTCTCGTGGTGCCCTTCGCGGACCGAGGCTCATTGCTGTGCCCGGCTCCCCGCTTGCGAGCGACGGGTCGGGGGCGTTGTGCACGTCGCGTCTGTCTCGTGGCGTTGGCGATTTGCGGGTGTCCCTCTCCGCCTTCTCTCTAGTTAGGTCCTCCTCACTCTCCGCCGACACAGGCCCCGATCTCCCCCCCCCCTTCCCCCCCCGACCTCGGCCGGCCTCCCCCCGAATAGGACAGGCATCCCCCCGACCTGCCCCCTGCCCTTGCCTTCGTTTGTGTCTATCCCTTGCACTTTTCCTTTTCTTTGTTTACTGTAGTATCCCCGAACCACTTGGTCAACGTCCCTTTCCCTCTCATTCCGTCCCCTTTGATGGGCCCCGGGCCTGCTTGTTCATCTTTTACATCAGGGCTGCTGTGTGGCGCGCGGCCCACTTTTTCCCTTATCAGTAGCCTACCACCTAGCTTAATCAAAGAGCACTTATCCTTGAACTCCTACCGAAGTAAATCCGTCCTCCTTGTCCTCTCCAAACATGGCCATATTTAAGAAATGGCCAAAAATTATAGTAAAAACAGCTCTCTTCTTCTCCGTGCTCTCCCTTGTCGTTCCTAACTCCCGACACCCCAGCCCCTGACCCAAATGACTACCACACATCCGCCACCCCCATCCTACACCCCACGGCCCCCTTCACCCCCCCCTCCCCCCGGTGGAGAGAGCACAGATGTGCTCTGAGGTGAGTCCACCCGTACTCACCCTCACGTCCACCAGCACCTCACACCCCTCTCCCCCCCCCACAACTTCGACCCACGACCCCTTCACCTCTCTCTTGTTCCTCTCTTTATCCTCCCGCCTAGCCGCCTCCCCTTCCCCCCCCCCCCAGCACGCCCCCTCGCCTCCAGTCCACTCCCCCAGTTTATCTCCTTCGTGTTCGTATTGGGCCGTCTGGCGGGGTGGGGTTGTCTTTGTCCGGTTTGGGCTTTTGCTTCAGTGTAGTTATGGGACGTGTGCGCATCTTACGCGGTGGGGTTTTCTTGCGCAGTGTGTTTTGGCGTCTGTTCTGTTTTGCTTTCGTTCTTCTGGTTTTGTCTTGTTCTTTTTTTGTGCGTCCTTTTTTTTTTTTACAGAACCGCGACGTGTTTGCTCTTTTGCTTTGTCCCCGGATCTTTTTTTGCCACTTCCCATCTTCGTAATTCGCTAGCCCCTTTGTCGATCCTGCTAACCTCGTGACTATTGTTCCTAGCCTTTCCAGCTTCCCTATCTTCAAGACGCACCACCGCCCCTTCCCCCCTATTCTTTTCCCTGCTTCCCTTCCACCCCCCCTCCTTCCCTCCACCTTTACTTCACCATAGGCTCTCCCCCCCACCAATCACTTTATGATTTCCATTCACCCCTATCGCAGACTAACACTCCTCCTAACTTCATGCAGACCTTGCCAATCATTTTCACCCGGTTCTTTGTCCAATACTGAGTCGCCATCTTCGTTATAACATCGTTTATCCTCTAGGGGGTGCGGGCGGTTTAAGTGGTGGGAGGTGAATGTCCACGGTACAGGGTGTTCGCCTGCCACGCCTTTTTCGTGACCTGTTTATCAATTCACCATCCCATATTTTTGGCTTTTCGTTCTTTATACTATCACATAAGGAAAATGGGAACTCTAGCGGAGTTGAGAGAGCGAACGTTTAGTATTGCCTTGCGCGTTTAACCTGCTAGAAAGTGGATTCTTTGGTGCTAGTGGTGTAATGCTGAGCTACTATCATCAGTGATGTGGATAAATATGCCACATTGTAGGCCTATCGGCTGCGTGGACCTGGTGGCACAACCCGACGCATCTGAACACAACATTGAGGACAGAGGATAAGCACCCAAACTATTGGAGGAGGATGCCATCTGGTACATGCACGAGTAAAGATCCCTTTGCATAGCAATAAGTGCCCGTGCCTTAGGTAAGATAGACTTGTTACATCGGCTAGGTTCTTGTGACAGGACCAGCTCCTGACTGAACAGCACACGCAACGAGTACGGTGCTGTAACTGAGGTGCTTTCTGTCTGCTTGGTCTCTAGCTTCTCCAAGCTTCTACAATCGTGGTCTAACATTTCAACCTCTCATTCCTCCCTTCTTGTAGAACCACCCACACATTATATAGTTGGTTCCCTCTTTGTGTGTTTTGTGGGGGGTATCATATGTCTTAAGTTCAATTCTCTTTGATGTCCATGTGACGCCGAGTAGCTTACTCATATACATATAATACAGATCACACACAGAAGGTCAATTGGCCCGTGTTCGGCTATAGTAAGAAGCGGAAATTACATTGGATGGCTCACACAATTTGTTTGGAGAGTGGTGTGGCTACGTTAATCCATCCCGCCATCTCAAAGTTTGCAACCTGGGACAAATGGGATTAAGAACCGGATGCGCTTTTTCATTCCAAACGGTCAAGCCCCTCCAAAGCATATTTCTTTTGGCTAATGATATTCCATTAGGTCCTTGCATACTTCTATACCAAGAAAATACCTCATCTTCCGAAGATCAGTCATGTCAAACTCAAGCTTCATTGATCTCTTAAACTCAGCAAACATAGATTCATCATTGCCAGTAAATATGAGATCATCAACATAAAGACTCACAATTAGAATTTTACCTTCCTTTGCTGTCTTTGTGAACAAAGTGTGTTCATAATGACATCTTTCAAATCCTTCCTTCATGAAATAAGCCTTTATACGACTATACCAAGCTCGTGGAGCTTGCTTAAGTCCATATAAAGCCTTTTTGAGCCTATAGACTTTCTTTTCATTGGCCTTGCGCACATAACCTTGAGGCTGCTCAACAAACACTTCCTCATTTAATTCCTCATGCAGGAAGGCTGACTTCACGTCCAGCTGGTAGATTGTCCATTGTCTTTGAGCTGCAAGTGCTATTACAAGACGGATCATATCCAATCGTGCCACAGGTGCAAACACTTATGTATAGTCTATCCCATGTTGTAGAGAATATCCTTTTGCTACGAGCCTTGCCTTATACTTGTCTACTTCTCCTTTCTCATTAAGCTTCGTTTTATATACCCACTTCACTCCAATCTTCTTTCCCCAGCAGGTAACTCCTTCAATTCCCATGTATCATTCTTTTCTATTGCTTTGATTTCTGAATCCAGGGCTTTTCTCCATTTTTCACTTTTCACTGCATCTTCGAAATGAATTGGATCAGCAGCTGCAAGCATGATAAAATGAGCCACATCATCTTCTTTAGAGAGACTCCCTTCAGTTTCATAATCTTCCATCCAGACTGGTGGTCTTCTATTTCTCCCTTCATTGAAATTGGGAGGATTTTCTTCAACTAGTTCATCTGAAGAAGAATTTCCCATTTCTTCTCCTGTGGCATTATTAAAGTCAGTAGCACCTTCATTATTAAAGTCCGCAACACCTTCTTCTTCAGTTTCAGTGACTCTGGTTGCTCTTTTTTCATTGTTACCCCACTCCAAATAAGCTAATATCACTTCTTCATGTCTTTTGTCCTAATCTCAAATTTTATCCTCTTCAAACACAACATCTCTGCTTACAAGTATTTTCTGAGAGACTGGATCATACAATCTGTATGCTTTAGACTCCTCATTGACACCAAGCAAGACACACCTTATGCTTTTATCATCCAACTTTGTTATTTTGCTATCAGGTACATGTACATGAGAGACACACCCAAAACCTTGAAATAATCCACTGTCGGTTTAACTCCACTCCAGGCTTCTTCAGGAGTTTGATTTTTGACAGCAAAAGTTGGGCTTTTATTCAAACACACGTACAGTCCAGTTAATTGCTTATGGCAAGAAAATTTTGGGAATTTTCTTCTCTGAGAGCATGCTACAAACCATGTTCATTATGGTTCTATTTTCCTCTCTGCAACTCCATTCTGTTGTGGAGTATATGATGCCGTCAATTGTCTGCATATCCCACTGTCATTGCAAAAATTGTTGAACTCTTGTGATGTAAATTCACCACCTCTATCTGTTCGTAGCCCCCTTATACTTGAACCTGTTTCCTTTTCAACACGATTTTATAGCTTTTGAAAGTACTAAAAGCTTCTGATTTTTCTACCAGAAAATAAATCCATGTCTTGTGACTGAAATCATCAATAAAATTGATCATGTACCTTTTCTTGCTATTTGAGATTGGCATGATTGGCCCACAGATATCAGCATGAACGAGTTGGAGTATTTGAGAGGCCCTCCAAGTGCTCATTGTTGGGAATGAATCCCTGTGCTATTTGCCCACCAAACAATCTTCACATAATTTGGAAGGAGTCTTGAGTTGGGATAATCCTTTCATCATCTGCTTCTGCTGGAGGGTTTTCAAGCCTTGGAAATTCAAGTGTCCATACCTACAATGCCAAAGATGTGTTTGGTCCTTTGTGACTGTATTGAAACATGTAGACTCTCTTGGCTGAGATTCAGCAAGTAGAACAAACATCATGTTGGATGACATTCCGGACTCCATAAGCAAGCCTCTTTCAGGATGAAAGATCTTGCACTTTCCACATAGAAATACAATTGTAAGTCCCTTCTATAGAAGTTGTCCAATACTCAGCAAATTATTATTTAGCTCCGACACATAAAACACTCCAGTGATGATTTGATCAATCCCATTCACTTGCAGCCTTATATTGCCTTTCCCATATACTGCCATGCTTGAGTTGTTTCCAAGCTTTACTGAGTCTCTGAAGCTTGTATCCAAATCTAAGAAACATTCCTTCTTCCCGCACATATGATTACTGCAACCGGAGTCAAGATACCACAAATCTTCCATGTTCTTCTTTTATCATCTACATAAGCCATCAGCAATATCTCTTCTTCAGGCTCTACAAAATTTGCTCCTTTTTCCTTGCTTGGGCATTCATATTGAAAATGCCCTAGTTTATGGCAGTGGTAACATTCCACTGTGGATTTGTCAAAGCTCCTGCCTCTCCCTCGACCTCTTCCTCTAAAACTTCCATGTCCACAACCTCTTCCTCCAGAGGACTCATCATACGTTACCTTCAATGCTTGTTCTTCTGTGACGTGATCATTCATACGTTGCTCATGCATCAGTAGACTACTTTGTAACTCGTCAATGGACATAGAGTCTAAATCATGTGACTCTTCAATGGAGCAAACAACATAATCAAACTTAGAAGTCATTGACCTCAGAATCTTTTCAATGACTAACACATCTCCCAATTTTTCACCATGTAGCCTCATTTTGTTAGCTATGGTGAGAGTCCTGGCGAAGTATTCATTCACAGATTCTCCTGCCTTCATGTGAAGAATCTCAAACTCTTTATGAAGAGCTTGTAGCTGTGTTCGCTTGACCACTGTGGTGCCTTGATACTTCTGTTTCAAAGAATCCCAGATATTCTTTGATGTGTCTTTGTTCAGAATTGTCTCTAGGATTGAACGGTCAATTTCTTGAAACATATAGTTCTTGGCTTTCAGATCCTTCAGCTTCTGATCTTCAACGGCTTTCCTCTGTCCTTCTGTGAGATCTGCTTCTCCTGCTGCTGCAGGGATCCCATTCTCCACCAGACCCCAATACTCCTTTGATCGCAAGAAGTTTTCCATGAGCATAGACTAGTGATCGTAGTGCCCATCAAACTTAGGAATCGCTGACTGCACATAGTTGTTCTCTGATGTCATATTCACACCTAGAAGATTGCTGCTTCTTCTGATTTCAAATCAGGCTCCCTGGAAGGAAGCTTTGATACCAATTGTTGGAAATAAGAGCTTTTCTGATGGCAAGTATTTAGAAGAAAAACTGATAAATTGATAATAGCAGTGACGGCTGTTTAAATAGCCTTACAAAGAGTAACCTAAGAATGAAAGAACAGCCCACGTTTAACAAACCTATTACGTGGTAACAGACTAAGTCAAAACAAACAAATACTCCCTAAACAATAGGGATTTATTAACCAAGCAGTAACACACTAACAATAATTCTAACTGCAACCTAACAATTTCTTCTCCTCTTGGTAGCTCATCATCGATGAAGGTTCTGATGCCTTTCTGGACCAAATTTTTGTGTAGATGATCTGTGAAGTTGTAGCATGTGTCCTTACCTCTAAAGCTGAGAAAGACATCGTGTGTCCATGAATTGGTGGAAGACGAGGAAGGTGGGGAAGGAGCTCCTAATAATTGAGTGGTGTTTGAATCCATTTTGTTGAAAGTTTAACTAAACAGGCTGAAAGGGTTGGAAATGGTACTGATAAATAGTCAAAGAGTTTGATCATCGTCTTTGCGAAGCAGTTTCCTGCTACCTTGGGTGCAACTTCGCAGGCGTTGACATCAATTGAATTTGTTGTTTACCTAAAATAAAATAAGCCAATGGCCTAGACGTAAACGACCTTCCCGGAACGGATCCAAAATCTTTAAAAAATAAAGAAAAGTGGACGATATGTATAACTTTTGTTTGGACCAAAATTGATATGGGCCAATCTTTAGTTATTTGGGCCACAATTGATATGTATAAATTTTTTTTCTAAAGGTCAAACTTTCAAGTTTTTCTTTATAAAAAATTTCATTTATTTATGGCATGTTAACTAATCTGTAATCGAATTGAATTGAGGATGAATTGGATTATTTTAGTTGAGGTTTAGATGTAGAGAAGCTTACCCCAAGTCCATATACACCTTGAAATGTATATAAATAATTAAAAAAAAAGGCTTATTTTTGATATACCCCTAAAAGTGTATTTGAGTCTCACATTGCTCTGAAAACTCATTTTGTCTCACTTTACACCTTTATCACACATATTTGTCTCACTTTGCCTGGGTTTGGTGAGCCCAATAATTTCCGGTCAAAAGAAAATATTATAAATAAAAAACAACTTTATGTATTTTATTTTGTTTGTTTGTTAAAAATAGTTTATGGTTTAATGCTTGGTCCTGTTTAGGGCCTTGAAGCAATAATTAAACTTTTGGTTATATGTAATTTCTTTAAATCCAAATGTAAGAACCATTCATCTGTTAATAGCTTGCAAAAATATAATTAAAATGGAAAAAACCAAAAACAAATACACTAGTCATAAGTTTATGCATCTACTAAAACTTAATTACATGGAGACAAGCTAATGGATCCGTAATGACTTTTGAATCCAAACAGCCTTGGTTATATATAATTACTCATTTTTTATGGCCAGAGCCTAATTAAACATGCAAGATTATATATGCAAGATTAGACTTATTAAACATGTTTACAAGGTGTTACCAAGGCACAAAACGGTCCATAACCAAACGAACTGTGGCCTCTGAAAGCGCAGAGGAATCAAAGTCCCTCTGAATCTGAGCCATTCTGCTGCTCTCTTTTCTTGCTTCTTTCAACACTTGTTGTTCTTCAACCTCATCATCACCTTCTCTTTGTTTGGCCTTGATGAAAACACCAACCGCTTCTTGGCCCCTACCTTGTCTTTCAGCTTTGCCAACTCGCTCATCCAAACATCCATCACTGCAGACATGCTTGAACTTGAAAATCTGAAATGTGTATAATTTTACAATTTCTTGGGTTTAATGGAAGCTTATGGTGAGGAGAGAGCCTTGGGTTTATATAAGAGAAAGAAAAAGAGGGTCTTGCCATTGGTTTGGGATGAAAAATCAGTGTGTCACAGACAGCCGTTGGTTATAGGTTCGCACACAGGATTTAGTTTTAGGAACATTCCTTGGGAAGAGAGAGAGAGAGAGAGACTATATGGGGTATGAGAGTTTGACTAGTGAATGAAAAGCTTCCCCGTGGGCACACGGAACTCTCTTCTTTAGATTGTGGGCGACTTTGTTGATGTGTAACCCTTAAGCTGAAAACCTTGAAGCCAAAGTCACAAAGTCGGTTTTGATTTCATTTTATAAGTTTTTAATTTCTGATGTAATGAGAGCCATCGGATCATAGTCCAAGTGGACTCTCTTTCTAGCCTAAGACTTTAGTACCAGCTAGTGACAAATGTAAGCATCTTATAGGATGATAGAAGCAATGGCTAGGATTTAATCTTTGTGAAAATCTGTTAGAGAAGTAGCTCACTTCTCTCTCTTATACGAATACACATGAATAGTGAAATAGAATGAACAGTTATCTCGAGCTTTCTTTTCCAGAGCAACGTTCTCATATTCATCTGTTTGCTGTGATTTTTTCCTTCCTCCCAAACATCCAAAACATTGAAACCTATGAATTCTAACACACTTGGCATATTACTATTCATCAATACTATTCCATCTGTTTTTTATTTTTATAGAGTTCCATTTGTTGAAATTAATGCACATTTGTGCTAAAAAATATAGAAAAATCTAGAAGCTTGAAGAAAGTGCCATAATCTTGATGGGAAGTCGGCAGCTACATGCAACTTGGAGAACTATCTAGAGAAAGCCACACATATATGTGGCTGGGGGTTAGTCTTCCTAAGTCGGTGGACCGAGGTATGGCGGTGGATCATGTCTATAAATAGACATACATGTGGTCATTCAAGGTGAGCAAAAAAGCTACCCAAACTATAAGGGAGCCAAGAGCTATCCAAAGCTAGCTATGTTAGGGAGTCAATAAGCTCACTAATCAAAGTGTAAAGGTCAAATAGCCCAAACTAATTTAAATCAAGTGTGGTGGCCAATAAGTCAGTATGCTATAAAAGCTAATTAGTTTACACTAAGCCATATACTATTCTCCTCCAAATCTAATAAAATCACTTTGTTTCCCCTACAATCTAACACCATTGCATCTTAGTTTTTCTTTTGTCTGATTCCAACATTGCATTTCTCTTTCTCCGAAATACCTATTCACCTCTTTCATCATTTCATCATCATCTTCATTATCTTCACAGCTGAAGTAGTTCCGAGTCTTGCTCATCTTCACATAGATCAATACAATTATCTCCATCAAAACCTTTCATTAGCATCTTCCAAGTCATCGGAATCAGACTCACCATCTTCCATAAATATAGACAGGTCTTCATCATCCTGTGGCATTACCAGGTGGATTCCCAAGCTTTTAAAACGCAGCGAAACTTGTGTCCAATTCTGAAAATTAACTCGACGCAAAAGTCAGATGAGATTATGAGAAGATAAGATGACTGAGTAAATAGGGCAGGGAGTGGATAGCAGCACTCTTTATGTATTGGGACCAAAAGGAAAATTCTATTGTAGTGAAAATATATTCTTTTAGGAGATCTTTTATGTACATACAGCACTTCAAAATTTGCAACATATTATTTTACTAATTACGGACAAAAGAACTGCACTAGCTTATTCTCTCCCTTTTTTTTTTCTAACAAAAAAAAAACGTAAATAAAGTATTATTATTATTTATATACTCAGTTAACAGAGCTTCTTGATCAAACATCGCACGAACGAACACGCTCCATCCCTTACATGTAAACCAGGTTGGTGCCACAAGGAGTTACAAAATAATTTACAAAATCTAATACTTTGAAAGTATATTATCCTCTGGACTTCCTGGCAGAACTTCTTCTTCTTCTAACTAGTGTTGAGTATCGACCCCAATATCATCCTCCTCCTTCCTCACTGCCACCGACGAGGCGAGACGAATGAATATCTCCACCATCCTGTGGCACTACCAGGTGGACTCCGCAGCTTTTAAAATACAGTGGATCATAATCTCGATAAAAACTAGCTCGACAAATAAAAGGCGGTCGCGGCCACGTAGACTGATTTAGCTTTACATACTCATCCATCTTACAAAACGGAACATAGAGCAGCCACACGTGAGTTGACTCAAAAATTGTTGAACCAAATTCAAACATAACACCATAAATTTTTCTTCATTGACGTGAATAACGGCATAAAACGAGCCGGATTTAAATGGCGTTTCAAAAGCAACAGAGATAGCCAATCCTTTCTTTCCCATCTGAAGTCTCGAGGGATTTCGAAGGAAATGTCACAGTTCTTTACGGGCTTCTTCAAATTCTTACGACAGTTGAACCACATTGGAACTTCACTTCCTGGAAATACGACCCCGACTGACAATTGCTTACAAGCGATCAGAAAGTGATCAGAGAAGTGAGCCGCAATGTCGAGCAGTCTCCAGCAATTAGACAAGTCCATCCTTCTATGCCTCTGTAACTCTTTGCCTTCCAAGATGTTTGGCAATTTCGGAAATCTTTCCAATGATATGCAACCACTCACATCTACTGAAGATATGTTTGGTGGAAGATCTGGAATCTCTACAAGCCTCTTGCAGCCAACCAAGTTCAGTTCTTGCATGTTGACAAATTTGGTAATCCATTCGGGAAGTCTAACAAAATTGGATCCTGAAAGATCAAGTACGCCTAATCTGGACCAACAATCAAGAGTCCCAAGGAAATCGATTTCGGATAAATTGGCACCTTCTATATATAAATGGAAAAGATTGGGAAGCGTTAAAGAACCAGCAATGTCATTTGAGTTGGTTGGAATCACCTTATTTGGAAATCTCACAAGCTTCTGGCATCCACGAAGATAAACAAATTGAAGATTCTGTAACTCATAAATGCTGCATGGCAGATTTGTGAAGTTTTTGCAGTTGCTTAACTTTAACGAATAGAGACGAATGAGATGTCTGATTGATGAAGGCAATTCTTCAATGGCAGTGCCGGATAGGTTCATCTCTCCCAATGATTCCATCTTTCCAACAATCTCAGGGAAATTTTTTAGCCTTCCACAATGACTAAGATCTATAGATTCCAGAGATTTTAAGTGAACCCTTCCTGGAAGTTTCGTAAGTTTACGGCATCCTCTCATACTCAAGCAAATAAGCTTATCAAGGAATCCAACAGAAGGATGAACCTCAACTAAACTTGTACAGTAGTTTAGATTCAAGTCCTCTAAATTTGGGAATCCAGAAAAGTTGGGGGTTTCTGTGAGGAACTTGCATCCCTCCAAACTCATAGATTTTAGATTCTGCAACCTCTATGGAAAGGAAAAAGAAAAAGATCAACCGATAAGCTTCACTTAAAGATATGTAAACAACAACTTCATAAAATAAACTCTTGAAAATACCAATGTATGAAAAGAAATTGAAAACACGTACCTTGAATCCTTCTCCAAGTTGTGACAAGCTGCTACGAGGCATATTGATTTCAACAAGTTTCTTTGGATTAAAACTGGATGGAAAAGTTTGCAACGGACATTTAGGCCAATCAAGCAACCTCAACTCGTTGGGGAGATAATCCACACGAGTTTCAGAAAATCGTGCATTCCTATTTATGAAAAGTTGAAGATTTTTCATCTTTGAGAAGCTATTAGAACTCAAGGATATCTCATGTTCTTCTGGAAAATTCATCAGGATGCCTTTAATTTTACTCGTCCCTAGTATGAAAGCGCAAAAGTATCAAACGATAAGATTTCTTTGTTGTCAAGTTGATTATTTATGTATATATATATATTCATATCTGTATATAATCTACTTAGTACTTACGGTATTTTCTTCAAGAACATGACAAATATCCTCATAAAACCACAATCTACTTCGTTTGCCTGGCTCAGATGGTGACTCTTGGCGAACAATTTCTTTACCCATTTCTTCTAGCAAGTGATGCATGCCAATACAATCTCTCTCATCATATTTATGAGGGCCTTTTCGACGAGCAATACATACTATACTTAGGGTTGAGGTCACAAATTTCTAGTATTTTATCACATAGGTTTTTATTTTCCCCTCTAAAGAAACAAGCGATGTGCAGGAAAACATTTTTCACATGCTCTTCTAATGCATTATAACTTATTTTGAGAATTTCCTGAATCTCTTTGTTTGGAACTCTTTTATAGCCATCTAATGCAGATTGGCCATTGATCAACACTTTTGCCACGTAGAAGTGAGCCAAAAACCATTAGAGCTAATGGAAGGCCTTGAGCATAGTGTATGATAGTTTGTGCGAGTTTCTCGTACTCATCATGCAAATGTCTATTTCTTGAGAATCCATTCCAACTGCTGAAGAGCTCAAGAGCTTCATGAGGATCTAATTCCTTGACCTTGTATATCCGATTGACTTCATGCGCAGTTAACAAATGCTTATCTCTTGTTGTTATGATAATTCTGCTGCCTGAACCAAACCAATCAAACCCTCCAACTAATGTGTTTAACTGGTTCAGTTCATTTACATCATCAAGAATCAAGAGAATTTTTTTGGCCCTCAACCTATCCCTAATCACATTGATTCCTTTATCAACATCGGTCACCTTTAATTCCTTCCCCTTAGAATCTCATACAGAAGACAATTTTGTAGTTCGACTAGGCCTCCATATGGTATTGATCTTTCTCTAACATCTTTCAAAAAACAACTAGCTTCAAACTTGTGGGCAATTGAATTATAAACAGCTTTAGCAATTGTTGTCTACCTATTCCACCTGTCCCCCCATATCCCTACCATGCAAATTTCATTTTGCCCAATATCTAAAAGCTTATATACCTCGCATACACGAGACCTTATTCCAATTGGGTACTTCGCGACATTCAAATGGGTACAATCTAATACTTGTAGGGAAATGATTTCAACAATGCTATGAATAAACTTTGATTCGTTCCTGCCATTTAGAAGTATACAAAATATTTAAATGAAATGATGTTTTGCTATTTATGATTAAATGTTAAAATTAATGCACACTTGTGTCTTGAATAATATAGAATAATCTAGAAAAATTGAGAGAAGTTGAGAATAATCTAATTATAATATATTATAACTAGAGAAATCTAGAATAAGTAGACAAATTGTGGATGAAAATGACTTTGAAAAAATCGGTCACTTTGCAACCGACTTGTCCAAGCGAAGGTGCCGACTTTAGCAACTCTATAAATATGCTAGGAAGCCCACTTATGTAAACAAAAGAAAAAAAGTCAAAAAAAAAAAAAAAAAAAATACAACTGTCAAACTCTCTCCGTCAAGCCAAACTCCTAGTAATTAAAGCATTAGCACCTTTCCTATTTTAATTTAATAAATAAATAAAAAAGTTTTTCTTTCCAAGTTAAGCTATTGTCCTAAACACTACCAACCATTCTCTAAATCTCTTTTCCTTTAAACTAACACTAAAAAAGGCAAATGATACAAACACTCACAAAAAAGGAAAACAAAAGAAGAGATTTTTTTCCACATTAAGAAAGAATTTATGTCTTCATATTATTCTTAGTATTTTTTTTTCTTCTTAAAACAATATACAACAGAACTAATAATTCAAATTATGTTGGATATAAATTCACCAAGACTTGCAGCAAGAGATAATATTGTGACTAAATTATAATAGTTTGCCACATACCCGTCCAAGAAAGACCACCCAGACAAATTGCTGCTCGTGTAAGAGTCGTCCTCCACCTCAAGACCTTCTCCATGTTGTCTCTGAGTTTGGATTCATGGCCTGCAAGTGCCCTGACCAAAACTACCTCTTTGGTTTCTCACATCTGAGGGATCCACCTTGTAGAAAACTGGGAAAACCATTTGGTTCTTCGATTCTTTACACTCAAGAATCTTAACGAGTTCATCCAAGCACCACTGGAGTCTGCGTAGTTTCAGAGAAGACAACAATAGAAACCATTGACTCTTCATTGCTTTGAGAAGCGCTGGTGATATTTCTTCTCCTCTACTTAGATCATCATCTATGAAGGTTTAATACCCTTTTGAACCAAATTGCTGTACAAATGGCCTGTGAAATTGTTGCGTGTATCTTCACCTCTAAAACTAAGAAAGATATCATATGTCCGTGAATGGCGGAAAGAAGAGGCACCTTCATTAGTGGTTGAATCCATTTGATTGCAAAAAAGGATGAGATATCGATGCTGGGAAAGGCTACTTTCCTTTGTATATATTAGGTGTTTACTCAGTGCTCCGCCATTTGCTTGTATTAAAAATAAAATAAAATACAATTAGGCCATCCCATATGCGAAGTAGTTTCCTCCGTCATCAGAGTGGATGAGAAGTCAAAGCCGAATATGAATAAAAGAGAAGACTGCACTTTCGTTGCAACGTACGGTTGTTTCGCAATTCAGAAGTAACGCAGTAGTTCGGCGTGTAGGAAAAAAAGACAAAATGCATAAAATAACCTCCTCTAAAAATAATATTTTGTTAGAAGACAAAACTTTGTTTCTTTCCTTTTTTCTTATTATACGACCTAATATTTAGGATCTTGTCGACAAAATTTTGATAGATAATATTGATTCCTTTATCGACAAAATGGCCTAATTATTACAGAATTTTACAAAAATTGATTATAAAAAACAAGAGAGATACTGTCGTATTTTAATCCCCGCTAGACACATAGGACACGCTTAGGATATTCATTAGGAAATAAAATCAATAGGATCAAAATTTGTTGTTTATCGGATATAGGATGACAAGCTAAATTAGATAGTCTCAATACAAACTGAATATCACTCAAATTCACTATGCAACACATTTCATTCAATTCTTTTGTGCCAAAATAATTGACTACTCGAACATCTTATAAAAGTTTCATTACGTCAATGGGGTACAACTCAGTTGATTGAGCTCTTCCACCTTTATTCATGTGGGTAAAAGTTCGAGACACCCAAACACCCAATGAATATTTGTGTAAATCACCCTCCCCCAATCACTTGTGCTATTGAAAAAAATAATAATAATTACAAATTCCCATGTTTTTCTTATCATTCCATTGCTTTTTTATCTAGTTTTTATCAATATCAATACTTTTCATAGATATTTCCAAATTTTAGACACCCGATACTTTTGAAACCCTAAATACTTAATACCTTACTTCTTACCCCAAAAAAATTTGTCCTTATTTATTGTAAAATTAATGAGACATAACTATTTATAACAAAAACCATGATTTCACTCATAATAAGCATATACATCACAGATGCGAAGTAGTTTCCTGTCATCTTCATAGTGGATGTGAAGTCAAAGGGAATAAGAAAATGGTCAAAAGGAAACAACAACAAACCACAAAAAGAAAAGAAAAAAGAAGCATCACTACACTTTCGTTGCAACATGGTAGTTTACCAAGTAGTTGGGGGTGTGGAAAAAAAGACAAAGGTCGATTGATGATGATGATGACAAAGGTCATTGTAATTTCTGTAACTCGTAACTCACAAGAAAGAATTCAAACTCCCCATAGTTTAGACAATAATTATTTAATTAAGGGTTAATTGCTGTAGACGTTCCTGAACTTGGCTCCCATTTGTAATTAGGTTTTGTGAACTTTTTTTTGGGGCAATTACATCCGTTAATTCGATAAACAGTTGCAATTGGGTCATATCGTCCAACTCTGTCAGTTGTCCGTCAAAATAAGGGGTAAAAGCATCCTTTCGAGTATGGAGAAAAAAACTGAGAAAAGTGAAGAAAAAAATTGTTCATCTTCTCATCGCTTTACAGGGCCACATCTATCATGGTTCTGCTCTTCAAGTTGAAGAACCTCAGATTGGGTTGTTCTATATTTACTTGCACATTTAGCAGATTGGGTTGTTCTATATTACAATCTGGTTTGGTTAAGTTAACTGACTATATATATATATATATATATATATATATATATATTATAAATAAATAAAAACAACTTGTGTATTTTGTTTTTGTTTGTTTGTTTGTTAAAAAATAATATAGGTTTAGTGGGTGTCCTGTTAAGGGAAAGCTTGGAGGCAATAATTTAAGCTTGGGAAAAACAATGATCCCAAATGTAAAGAACCATTCATCGCTAATAGCTTGCAAAAATATAATTAAAATGGAAAAACAAAAACAAATACGCTAGTAATAAGTTTATGTATCTACTAAAACTTAATTACATGGAGGCAATCTAATGGATCACTAATGATTTTTAATCAAAACAACCTAGTTATATATAATTACTGAAAAAAATAATCTCATTTTTCACGGCCCGAGAAGCGAGCAAAGGTCCTTCAACAAGTTAAACATGTTCACAAGGTGTCACCAAAGCACAAAACGGTCCATAAGCAAACGAACTGTGGCCTCTGAAAGCCTAGAGGAATCCAAGTCCCTCTGAATCTGAGCCATTCTGCTGCTCTCTTTTCTTGCTTCTTTCAACACTTGCTGTTGTTTTTCAACCTCATCATCACCTTCTCCTTGTTTTCCCTTTGATGAAAACACCAGTCGCTTCTTAGCCCTACCTTGTCTTTCAGCTTTGCCAACTCGCTCATCCAAACCTCCACCACTGCAGACATGCTTGAACTTGAAAACATGAAAACTGGCTTGGTCTTGACTCTTCGAGTTTGATCAAGGATGATGAGGAGAGCTGGCTATTATGGTTGTTGGGTTATATAGAAGAGAGCGAGAGAGAAAGAGGGCTTTGCCTTTCATGTGGCTTGGATTGGATGAAAAATCAGTGTGTCACAGACAGCCGTTGGTTATAGGCTCGCACACAGGATTTAGTTTTAGGAATATTCCACAGAGAGAGAGAGAGAGAGAGAGACTAGAGAGTGGGGGTATGAGTTTTGTTGAGTGAATGAAAAGCTTCCCCGTGGGCGCACGGAACTCTCTTCTTTAGATGTGGGCGATTTGACATATTACTATTCATCAATAGTATCCATTGCATCTTAGCTTTTCTTTTGTCTTATTCCAACATTGCAAATCTCTGTCTCCGACCTATTCACCTCTTCATCATCATCTTCAGTAAAAGTAGCCATCTTCATTATCTTCACAGCTGAAGTAGTCATGTTCCGAGTCTTGCTCATCTTCACATAGATCAACACAATTATCTCCATCAAACCTCTCATTAACGTCTTCTAGGTCATCGGATTCAGACTCACCATCTTCCGGAAATATAGACAGGTCTTCTTCATCCTGTGTCATTACCAGGTGTACCCCGAAGCTTTTACAACGCAGCGAATCTTGTGTCAAATTCAGAAAATTAACTCGACACACAACAGGCGACTGCGGCCAGGTAATCTGATCATCCCGGCAAGACATTTCTCTGAATCGAATATAGCACAGCCACACATGACCTGACCCTATAACATGACCTGACCCTATCTTTCTGAAAATGTCATCGAACTGAATAAAATGAGGTAGCATTCCTGGTTGATTGACGGAAATTTTGCTCGAAAATGATCGTAAACTAGTCTTTTATTTTGCAGGTATTCAACATCAGCGTATAGAGCCAATCCTTGGTTCTGGCATTTGAAGTTTGGAGGGATTTCAATCAAAAATTCACATGCTTCATCACGCTCCTTCACATCCTTATGACAGCTGAACAACCTCGAGAGAGCTTCAAAACTTGCTGGAAATACAACCTGAAATCCAAGTTTCTGTGAAGACAGAAGGTGATCAAAGAAGAGTGTGATCTGCTCCTTTGCTAAAATGTTTTGCTTCTTTGTGAGGTCACGAGCCAGATTGCCACAGAGTCTCTGGCAATTACACAAGTCCACGAACTCAATCATTTGTGAGTCTTTTTTACCTTTCAGAATGTTGGACAATGATGAAAACCTTTCCAATGATACGCAATCACTCGCCTCTAACTTTACAATTTTTGGTGGAAGTTCCGGAATATCTCGAAGCCTTTTGCAGCCATGCAAGAAAAGCTCCCGCAAATTGACAAATTTCGTAATGCATTCGGGAATATTTACAAGGAAATCACATAGTGTTAGATCAAGTACGCACAATGTAGACACATAATCTTCAGACTCCACTTTATTTGGAAATGTAACAAGCTTTCGACTTCCTCGGAGATCAATTTCATTTAGATGTTCCAACTCATAAATGCTGGGTGGCAGATTCGTAAGATTTTCACAACTCCTTAGGTCTAAAAATACAAGACTGATGAGATATGCAATTGACGCAGGCAACTCTTTGACGCCACTACCAGATAGAAACATGCAACGTAAGGAATCCATCTTTCCCCCAATTTCAGGGAAAGTCTCCAGTCTTCTGCAATCTTCAAGATTGAGAACTTCTAGAGATTTTGACTTGATTATTGGAAATAGTGTGAGGTTATGGCATCTCACAAGACTCAAGTCAACAAGCTTATCATGACATCCAACAGAGGGATGAACCACAACTAAACTCGTGCAGTCGTCTAGATTCAAGGACTGTAAGTTTGGAATTCCAGAGATATTTGGGGTTTGTGTTAGGAATTCACAGCTCTCAAAATTCATGGACTTCAAATTTTGCAAACGCTATATAAGACAAAAATAGAAAAGAAAAAGAAGGATCAAACGATAAGGCATAAACAAGTGCAAGCCATAACTCCAAAAACTTAATAAACTTTTGAAAATACGAAGGGATGAAAATAATTTAAATTACCTTGAATCCCTCCCCAAGTTGTGACAAGCGGCTACGAGGCATATAAAGTTCAACAAGTTTCCTTGGATTGAAAGTAGATGGTAAAGTTTGTAGAGGACAATCAGGCCAATGAAGAAACCTCAACTCATTAGATAGATAATAATCCACGTGATCACCATAAAATCATGCATTCACATTGATGAAAAGTCGAAGGTTTTTCATCTTTGAGAAGCTGTCACCACTCAAGCATATGTCTTTTGGTGTCGGAAACTTGCTATGATGCCTTTAATATTGTTTGTTCCCTGTTATCAAAAAACAGTAGTGTTAACATACAAAGCTCTTTAGCAAATAAAAATGCAAGTGTACACATCACACACAGAGACTTACTGTTCCTTCTGTTAGAACACGATAAACATCCTCATGAAACCACAATCTGCTACGTTCACCAGGCTCATTTGGTGACGCTTGATAAACTATTCCTCTACCCAATTCTTCAAGCAAGTCATGCATCCCAATTGTGTCTTGTTCAATATTTATGAGGGCCTTGTCTACGAGTACTTTAATAGCATACTCAGGCTTGAGGTCACAACCTTCCAGGATCGGTATCACATGGTTCACCTTTCTACCGTTAAAGAAACATGCTATGTCAAGGAAAACTTCTTGCACCGAATATTCCAATGCATCATAGCTTATTTTGAGAGTTTTTTTAATGTCCGAGTGCAGATTCCCATCCAATGCATCATGCCACTCATCTATACTTCTACCACATAGATGAGAACCTAAAACCTTGAGAGCTAAAGGAAGACCTTGAGCATGATTCACCACAGTTTCTGCAGCTTTCACATAATCATCATCCAAATTTTTATTTCTCCCACCAATCCAACTAATGAAGAGATCAAGAGATTCACCAAAGTTTAATTTCTTGGCCTTGTATATAATACTAACTTGATGAGAAGTTAGCAAATGCTTATCTCTTGTCGTTATGATAATTCTACTGCCCAAACCAAACCAATCACAACCTCCAACTAAGTTGTTTAACTGGTCCAAATGATCCACATCATCTACAATTACAAGGACCTTTTTACGACTCAACCTTTCCTTTATCACACTGATTCCTTTATCGGCACTGGTAACCTTTATTTCCTTTCCTCTTAGAATCTCATAAAGAAGAAGATTTTGTAGGTCGACTAGGCCTCCATATGGTATTGATCTTTCTCTTACATTTTCCAGAAAACAACTCCCTTGAAACACATGGGCCAGTGAGTTATAAACAGCTTTAGCAACAGTTGTCTTTCCTATTCCACCATCCCCCCATATTCCTACCATGCGAACATCATTTCCTTCAACTTCTAAAACTTTATGAATATCTCGTACACGAGCCTCTATTCCAACTTGGTATTTTGCCACATTGATATGGGTATCATTTAATACATGTAAGGAAATCTCGTTGACAATGTTCTGAATAAATTCAGCTTCACGGCTGCCAATTTAAGCACAAACAACATTAAAATAAAATGGGATTTTTCTATATATGTTTTAAAGAAGTGCTCGACTCGATAATAGTGTAAATTATGTCGTGAATTTAGATGATGGAGTTACTTCATCATGATATTTGATATGTCTAGACACTTCTTATTAAAATCTCGGTTTATTAATTAAAAGTTGGATTCAATATCCATAACTGTCTTACATTTATCAAGAAGAATAATTAAATGAGGGTTTTATAATCAACATAAGGAAGAGCTGTTTGGTAGGTATCTAAGACTAATAAATCAATTAAGTATTTTGTTCTTGGAAATTATGTAATTTATGGACAACATTTATATATATATATATGTTTGTTGCATGTTATCATATACCATAGGCTTAATTTTTTCAAATCCTCTAGGTGGGATTGCCCCTGGAGAGAGAGAGAGAGAGAGAGAGAGAGAGAGAGGTGGTGGATGGGAGAGAGAGAGGAAGGTGGAGGGAGGGTCATAAGAGAGGCGGGAGTGCGGCTGTGTATGGCCGGGATGGGTTGATTTGAGAACTTATTATTTTTTCACAATATTAACAAATAAGTTAGGGAAAGTACATCAAACGTGGTTTTCTTCTTCTGTCTTACACTCCCCTTCTATTTCTCACTCTATCGTTTAATCGCTCTTCTGATCGATTTCTCCTTACTAAACAATTGTTTATCAAACATGTACTATTGTACAAGATTTCATGTTGTCTTTTGTATATTTTTGCTCATTTTGCTTCAAGATCTTGAATTTGTCGTTTGGTGGTTGACAAATGAAGTGCAGAAAATATATCTAATCTGTAGTTTCTATTCATTTTCGGTACTTTTGATTGCATATCTTGAATTTATATTGTTGATGGCTGAGAACATGAGGGAAAAACAAACAATTAGAAAATTCATGAACAAGCTATGATGTTAGGGAAAGCATGTGATGGAATGGACACTACAATAAGAATAGAAGAGATTGGTTTTATTATAAAGGAGAGAAGTACACTGCTTGCTTGGTGTAGAACTATGAGGCTATTAATAATGTAGCTATTGGTTGGCTAATTAGCCTTTCAGTGATGTAACTATGCTACTTAGTGGGTTTGTAAGACTGCAGGATTTCATCCAACACAAAAAATAAAGGACTGCAGGATTCCACTGGCATATTACACAAAGCCTTTTGTGAGGCTTAGATATAAGAATAGTGTTTGGCTTTCTAGTAGATTTCTTAGTTACAATTCACAGTACAACACTTCAATCCTATTTATTGGCTTTCTAGTAGATGTCTTTGTCCTTTTACTTTTATTTATTTTTATATTACTCCATTTACTTAAGTTTACAATATAAATAAGGAAGTAACCCCCATTTGGATTCAAATAAAAATACTAGAAAATCAAATTTCAACCAAATCAAAATATGAAAAATCGGTTTTAGTGCAAAATACAATTTAGGCTAAAAATGATGGCTCATTAAGTCAATATATACTTCATACTAAAATCCTATAAAATCAAATTTTCTTATTTGATGTGTAAGGAATAAAAGCCGCCAAAAATTATCTTGAGAAAATGATTATTCTGAAAAACCATTTTTCATACTTAGCCAATATTTTTACTTAAAACAGTTTTCATGTATGATATGAATGCATAAAGGAACCTAAGGTCAATCTAGGTAAAAAACTTTAGATGTTCAATCCACAAGGAGTTTTACAAGAATAACCTAATTCTTACGTATTGAAGAAATATTTGCTTGAATAAGCTCCCCCTAAGATAGTACTTATAAAGGTCCAAAGTTTGAGAGCTAGAACCCAAAAGAAATGCAGATAAAGCCCCAAATCAAAACTATGACGGACCTAAAAAATGACGTAAATGCCCTAAAATGAGTAAGATTGCACTAAGATATGTCAGTTCTTATGTCGAATAAGACAAGATGCCTTGGGAGGCAATAAGGATTGCACTAATGTTTTGGTTTATTATCACATTCTTAGAGATATTTCTGGTGTATTGCAATGTGTGTTTATTTTTTGAAGTTGATGCAGTTCTCTTTGATAATGAACATGAGTATTTGTATGGTTTTATCTATTAACTATGAATTAGAGTATTATCGTTTCATTTCAACGGGTCTATTTTGTATAGAATTTTTTTTAACATTTTACATGTTGATCCTCGGAATGAAAATTCATGGATCCGCCACTGCCGGCAAGACTGCCAGACTTGATCAACCACCATGTCTACGACTTCGCCATGTCTACGACTTGGCTTTATCAAATATTATCAGCCACATAAGCTGCGGCTTGCTCTAGGCTAGAGCATTCTACAAAACTCCTTATATGTTTGTGGCTATTTGTTTAGCTGGCATAGTTCACCGACTTGGTCATTTAGTCCAGTAGCCACCCTCTTCTAGATTCTACTACAATTATCTTAGATATCTGATAGCTATTGTAGCACTTTGGGATTCTAAATTATTACTCTAGAGATTTCTACCAAATGTCCATCACATTTTTACAGTTAAAATAACAGATTCTGCAACCCTGGGAGAAATAAATTGAAATTAAAGCAGAGCCTCCGGATCCTAAATGTATATTAAAGATAGAAACATACCGCATTCAGAAAAGAAAAAAACATACCCCTCCAAGTAATGCGACCCAGACAAGTGTGCAGCTTTTGTAAGAGCTTCCTTCCATCTCGGCACCTTCTTCATATTGTCTTGGAATTTTCTTTCATCATGGTTTGTAAGTTTCTGTTCTTTGAATTTGCGTTCATGGTTATTCAGTGCCTCGCCATAACTACCTCTTTGGTTCCTTACATCTTTGGGATCCACTTTGTAGAAAACTGGCCAAACCATCTGTTGCTTTGATTTTCTACACTGAATGATATGAACAAGTTCATCCAAGCACCACTTCGAGGATGCATAATTTTCAGAGAATACGACGACAGAACACCTCGATCCTTCAATTGCATCGACAAGTGTTTGTGATATTTCTTCTCCTCTTGGGAGCTCATCATCTATGAAGGTTCTGATGCCCCTCTGGACCAAATTTTTGTGTAGATGGTCTGTGAAATTGTAGCGTGTGTCCTCACCTCTAAAGCTGAGAAACACATCGTGGGTCCATGAATTGGTGAAAGAACAAGAAAAAGAAGGGGAAGGAGCTCCTAATAATCGAGTGGTGTCTAGATCCATATTGTTGAAAATTGAACAGGCTGAAAGGGTTGGAAATTATAGTGATTTATTGTCCAAGGGTCTCTGGTTGGCAATGCCAGTGGGGAGAAGAATCATCAATCATGTGAGTGAAAAGTCTTCGTCTTTCTGGGCCCCAAGAGCCCCTACCTCTGCTGGGTCTCTCTAGTCTAGACCCGAGGGACAGTTTTAATTTTTTTTAATTTTTAATTTTATATAATTACGTAATCCATCTGATTGCAGAAAAGGATGAGACATCGATGTTGGGAAGGGCTACTTTCCTTTGTTATATATAGGTGTTTACTCAGTGCTCCGCCATTTGCTTGTATTAAAATAAAATTAGGCCATCCCATATGCGATGTAGTTTCCTCTGTCATCAGAGTGGACGAGAAGTCAAAGGCGAATATGAATAAAAGAGAAGACAGCACTTTCGTTGCAACGTACGGTTGTTTCGCAATTCAGAAGTAACGTGGTAGTTCGGCGTGTCCAAAAAATAAGAGAGAAGACAAAATGCATAGATGATGAAGATGCATAAAATAACCCCCTCAAAAAATAATATTTTGTCAGAAGATAAAACTTTGTTTCTTTTCTTTTTTTTCTTATTATAAGACCTAATATTTTGGATATTGTCGACAAAATTTTGAAAAATAATATTGATTCTTTTATCGACAAAATGGCCTAATTATTTACAGAATTTAAGTAAATTTTAAATAAAAATTTATTTAAAAACCAAGAGAAATACTGTAGTATTTTAATCATCACTAGATACACGCACATAGGACACGCTTAGGATATTCATTAGGAAATCAAATCAATAGGATTAAAATTTGGTGTTTATCGGATATAGATGATAAGCTAAATTAGATAGTCTTAATACGAACTGAATATCACTCAAACTCATTATGCAACACATTTCATTCAATTATTTTGTGCCAAAATAATTGACTACTGTTGAGGCCCAAAAATTCAGGGTTGGGCCTAAATAAATTCCTAGCCCAGTGCAACACCTTATTAAGAAAAGACCTGATTCGGAGCATGCAGAATTCGTCATCCATGCTCATCCATTTGCCCAACACTTAGCAGATTTTCTTTCAATCCTAGCACATACATTACTTCTCTTATGTATTTTCTGCCCTTTGCTGTATCAATCATCAGTGGACCAATACCAGCTACATTCACAAGTGCACCAGTTGGCATTTGTACTTTCCCAACCACATTAGTTCTCACGTCAACCAACAACTCTAAGTTTCCTGTCATTTGGTTGCTACATCCACTATCAACATACCATTCTCCATTGGTTTTGATCTCAGTGGTTGTGCAATTTGCATAAAACAAGTTCCCTGTCACCTCCATTTGATTTACACAATTAGCCTTCTGCACATTCTTGTTCACAGTACAGTCTCTAGCAAGATGTCCAAATCTGTCACAGTTATAGCATTTTGGTTTTCCCTTGTATCTGCACTCACCAAAATGATGCTTTGAACACACCTTGCATTGAGGCTTTGTATTTTCCTGGTTTGAGAATTGTGTTGAGGTGTGATTCTGTGCAGAATAATTGTTATGCTGTGACTTGTCTTTTGACTCCCATGACTTCCCTTTAGAATTCCAGTTTCTCTGTGACTTAGATGAACCAGACTGAGAATAATTTTTATTCTGACCTTTGGAATTCACAGTGAATGAGGCAAATGCCTTCTCAACTGTATCAACACTATGCATTTCAAGCCTCTGCTCTTGACTCTTCAAAATGGCAATCACTTCCTGCAACTCCACAATTTCTAGTGTCTTTGTGTTTTCAATCACAAGGCATATAGGATCATACTTCTTACTAAGACTAATTAGAACCTTCTGAACCTGCCTCTCATTTGACATAACTTCACCAAATGTTTTCATTTAGTTGATCAATTCATTCAGTCTAGTAAGATAGTCAGATAAGGATTAATTATCACGCATCTTAGTATACTCAAATTCACGTATGAGGTTTTGAAGTTTTACCGATCTAACATGATCTCCACCATGGTATTCAGCATATAGCAATTCCCAAGCCATCTTCGCAGAATCTGCATTTGCAATTCGTGGAAAAATCTGATCAGAAACGGCATTTTGGATGATACCCAACGCTTTCGCATCCTTCATGAGAATCGCAACTGTTTTCTCATCAACTTCTTCTTCTGAGATTTCCTCAGATACCTTTTTCTTCTTTGAATCCGAGATTGAAAACCCCTTCTCTACCAAACTCCATACCATATGATTTGAATATGGTCACCATCTTAATCCTCCAAAACTCATAGTTTTCACCAGAGAAAATTGGGATTCTAGCCTCTGAGCTTCCAGATCCAGCCATTTTGAATTTCAGATGCACCTGGAAACAAGTTTTTTTCAGATCGACAATTGATCGAACTCAATCAGCTTCGTGAGCTATAAATGAGCTTCACCTCGATCGATTTTCTTCACAGAACGAACGCCCAGCTTCAGATAATCAAACCTGGCTCTGAGGCCATGTTAGTGTTTTGTATATCTGTATGTGTATATTGGTAAGAAACAAGAGAAGAGAGAAGAAGAAAACGAAATCCAAATCTACTTTGCTATACGTGTAGAAGAGAGAATATTCTCATTTCTCATCTGTAAATTCAGTACACACTACCACACACACTTGGTGTGAGAATATAACCGTAAGACACAATGCCAGCTAGATGCATTACATCACAATGCAATCTCAGCCATCCACAAACTAACCAATCAAACTATGACACTTGGATTAACAATAAACAAACTACAAGAAAACTAAAAGTATCTAATTTATGAAATCAGCTTGAGCACTTATAATTCAACACTCCTCATGGAACCATACTTCGTGAGGTGTTTCAGGTTTCCGAGATGTAGAAGCTAGACGACGTTCCAAGGCCACAACAATAGGAGCCATCATAGCTGAATATATAGCAGCATTTATCTTGTTTTTCTCACTCTGGCTAAGAGTAACATTTTCTGCAATTCGTGCAGCTTCCTCTTTCAGCACATTTATGGGCCTCATGACATCTGAAACAAAAATTAATAAAAAGGTTGAAAACAGTACACCAACTTTCAGGTCCCAGTGTGCAGTAGCTCATTTGTGATTAAAGCATGCACTGGCATATAGTTTCATATCCAAGTTATATAAGACTGAAAAGAGAACACTTACATCCCACAGAATTTTTGGCATCTAAAAAACAAATGCATATTCAACTAAACGACATCAGAAACAATAAAAGCCTCGTTTAAGCAAGGTCAAACATACCTGTGTGAATATCTTGAAGTGTGTTGATGCTCTTTTTCGGAGAGGGTCAACTTAGAGAAAAAGGGGTTTGCCTTCAGCAGGGAAAGGGTCTGGGCCTTCAATAAAGGCTAACCTGCAGAAGACAAAGATAAGGGAAGCAGTCGTCAAGCTCCGAGCACCGGTGTGGTGCCGGCCGAAGACTCTCCGATGCTTAAGTCAGCTAAGAAGGGTAACTTTTGCAGAGTAATAGTAAAAGGCAGAAAAGTAGTTACCCCTCTTACTAGGGTACTGTTCCCTTTTTATAGGGAAGTGAAAGTGGGAGGTTGGTGTAGATTTCCGATGTGGGACTCTGTGCAAGTCGCCGCGGTGGTGACACGTGTCATGAGAATTAGGTTTAACAGTTTGTGAGCTTTGGCAGTCGGGAGTTTCGGCAGGTGCTTGGCATCTCGGAAGAGTGTCTTCCTTCGGCAGATGAGACTGCCTTGGTGCTAGTTGTTTTGAGACTGGATATGCTCGGTTGATTATGGTGTAAACAATAGTCCCCCAAGTTCGCGGTCAAGAAGTGACTTCTGGGTTGGGAACTTGTAAGCTTTTGCGTGATCATGACCGAGCATTCCAGGTTCAGTGGGAGCCGTAGGGCAGTCCCTAGTCTCCCAAGTTGTCAAGCTAGAAGTGGCGTTAACACTTGGAAGGTATAATAAAAGCTGTGTTAGCCTCAGTTTTTGTTGGTAGCTGGGTACCTTGTAAAAGAAAAGTAGACTTGGGTTTTTGAAGCTTCAGTAAGAAAATCTGTGGGCCGTAGTGTTTATAACCCGGGTCCTGCCGTTTGGTGACCAAGTGATGGGTTTGGGCAGCAAAGGCTTGGGTCCCAAAAGATTGGGCTGAAGCTTGGAAGGAGAAAAGAATATGGGCTTCCATTTTTTTTATTTTTTATTTTTTTTTTGGGTGGCCAAACCTTCAGCAGGGATTGGGTAATTGAAGTTGGGCCATTGAGGCGTCTGAAATTAGGGGCTGCCATGGTAAAAGTGGCCCAAGGTGAGCTGGGGCTTCGGCAAAAAGGGAAAAGGTAACAAGGGGCTGAGCCCGTGAGTTTAGTTGTGAGGCCTTGGCTATAGTATGGTGCTAGGTTTAGAGGAGGATTGGTGTGCCTCCTTTTTATTTGTTTTACAGAACCTGCCGTTTGGCAAGCAGTAGCTAGGACCTTTGTTTTGGTTGAGCAAAAAGGCTGAGCTGTTTTGTTGGCTTAGGTAAGTGAAGAAACAAGGGGTATATAAATAAGTTTGACTATCTCTTGCCATTCGGCAAGAGATAGCTGGGACATTTGTAGGGCACAAAAGAAGAAGAGGGGCTAGGCAAGAGATAGCTAAGACTCAGCAGCTTCGGCAAGCTGGAGCTGGGCTCTGAGTCAGCTGCCAGGAGGAAGGAATCCGGGCGGCGGGTGCCGTTCGGCAAGGGACCCAAGGAGGGCTGATCTGTCTTCGGCAAGGAGTGGGTCTGAGTGCATGGTTTCCGAGACAATCTAGAGCTGGGTCCGTAGTGTCGTCATCCCTTGAACTGGGTCCTTGTCGGGTTCGCTGGAGCTTAAGCATAGGTGAGTGTGGAACCGAGGATGGGTGGCCCTTGTTTTGAATCCGTATGGACCTTGCCGTTCGGCAAGGTCAGTTTGAAATTTTTTTGGTGGACATCTGATGTTTGTTTATTCGGCAGGTTGGTGAGGCTGTGATATTGATAATTTTCTTAGAGCCGGACCATTGGAGTTTTGGAAGTGCATGGGTTTGGCCTTTGAGTGGGGCTGGGCTCTTGGAGCGGGTGTCTTGATCAAATCATGATTCCTCCGTTTTGTGCTAGTTCCAAGTCTTGAGCAGGGTCGGAGAATTGGAGCTTGGTGAAGCTGGGTTCGCAAGTGCTGAGAATGTGAGTCCAAAGATTGGAGAAGAGATACAAGTCCCCCATTAGCTGTTCATGCGATCCAAAATTTGTTGGAGAAGAATATTGGAGTTGAAGCACCGTGAGCCAGTATACTTGGGTTCTTGAAGTCACCCTTACAAATTTGGAGCTAGGCTCCTTGAGAGTTTTGGGGCTGAAGCGCTGATCTCTGGGTCCTTGCAGCTGGGCTGTTTGGGCAGATTTGGCTAGCGGGTGCCTTGAGCAGTTTTTTGAGGTGAGATGCTCATGGAAGCCTCCATGGTGTTGCCACATAACCCTTGCCGTTCGGCAAGGGTGTTTGTAAATGTTTTTTGAATGGTTGTTGTTGTTGTGTAGCTAGCTTCCTTGTAGCCGGGCATCAAGGAGAGGCCGGGTCATATACCCAGCGAGTGGTGTGGCGTCTCAGTTTAGCTTGAGCTTCGGTAGGTAGGCACTTGAATTGGGTGCCTGGCCATTTGGAGCTAGACCTTCGGCAAGGCTGGGCCATCCGTAGCTGGGGTCCTTGGCAGAGCTGTTCTGGAACGAATTTGGGGCTGGGACATTGCAAAAGTAGGCGGAGCTGGGCTTTCCTTGTGACCTGGGTGTCTAGATCAAATCATGGCTCCTCTGTCTTGAGTTGGTTCCAAGTCCTGAGTAAGGTGAGTATACTTTTGAAGGTCATCGTAACTCCTCTGTTTGTCAAGGAAAGAGCTGGGTCCTTGTGAGATTTTTGTTTTTTTTGTTTTTTTGGGGAGTTAGACCTTTGGCAGGTTCAAAAAGACTGGGTGTGGGCTTATGAGGACCTAGGTCCTGCCTTGGGCTGAACCGTAGATGAGCTTTAGAAATGGCTGGGCAAGGAAGTAGAGGTGAAGAGAAGGGGGGGGGGTCCAAAAAAGGGTCAGCATGACCCTTGTCGTTCGGCAAGGGTAAGTTGGGAAAAGTTTTAGGGCTGACCTAAGTCTGTACTTGAGTCTTTGGCATGTCCGAGACCTGTCTTCTGTCTTGGAGTGGGCTGGGCCAAGGCCATGGAGTCATGCATTTTTAATTATTTGTTTTTTTATTCAGCAAGGTAGCCAAGGCAATTTTGGGGCTTAGCTGTGTATTGGGGCTGGGCTTAGCAAGTTTGGCTTTTGTTGATGAGCCTCCCCATTTGGTTTTGCATGGTCCTTGCCGTTCGGCAAGGACCCTGGAATATGTATTGATGGTTATTGTTGTGACCTTGGAGCTGGGCAGTATGAAATTTCGTGGAGCTGGGCTCGGGAGGCTGGGTGCCTTGATCAAAATTTTTGGTTTTTGTTTCGCTGTGCTCGTAGAGGCAGGTTCGGAGCTGGGCAACCTTGGATTTTTCAACAAGAAGTGAGAGCCTAGAGCTGGACCTTCGGTAGGTGTCCAAAAGGGTTTGGCCAACATTGGAGCTGGTCCCGTTTTGGCTAGGGGTTAGCTAGGATTTGGAGCTGGGCTCCGTGAGGTTTGGTTGTTTTTTGACTTGGGACCGTGAGCTGGGCCTTGGATAATCGACAAGGGCATAGGCTTTTGGCAACCTCCGTAGCCGGGCTTGCCTTAGAGTTAGGCCTCCTTGATTGCGGCAGTGTCGGTGTGAGCTAGGCTTGTGTGAATTTTCACTTAGCCGGGCCATTTGAGGTTGGGCCAATTTGGCAAGGCTTGGTGATTTGAGGCTGGGCAGAATTGAATTGTGAGGCAACCCATTTTGCATTTCCATGGGCCTTGCCGTTCGGCAAGGTCCCTTCAACTTCCTCTTCGTTTTTTTTTGTGTGTCTAATTTGAAATTGCAAATGCTGTGTAGGTACAAGGATTTGGGAGGGAAGGTGAAAGGGTGCTAGGGTTTCTCTTGTAACCCTAGGGCTTTATAAATAGGAACTTGGAGTGACGTAGGCATCATACTTGGAGATTTTTTGAGAAAGATTGTCAGAAAGTGAGAAGGAGAAAAAGATTTTCGGTGAGATTTTGGTGGTGGTGCAAACAAGGTTAGACCTCATTTCCCTTGAATTCTTGAAATGAAATTCAACTTTTGGTATGAACATGTTGAAGAGTATGATGAACACCTTAAGCATGAGTATGAACATGTTGAATGTATGCATCTAGATCAAAAAGCATGTAGAGGCCGTCCAATTTTGTGTTTTTGTTCTTGGATCCTCTTTGCATGTGCATTAGTTCCTTTTTCTTGTTTCTGCATGTTGTAGATGTCTGAGAGTGAAGAGGCCAGTGAGTATGTTTGTTCTGAAGATGAGAGTTCCCAGACAGATGGTTTTGTAGAAGGGCTTATAGAAGCTAGGATGGGAGTTCATGAGGGTGAGATGGCTGGGCCATCAGTAGAGTCTGGGTCAGAGGCATATAGGGAGATGCAGAAGAAGTATAAAGTGTTAGAAGCCAGTGTTGATCGGGTTCTAGCTTTGGCACATACACCGGAGGTGGGCTCGAGCAATCAGACATCACCATCAGAGTCTGTGGGTATAGCCATGGTTTCAGCTTCAGAGGGGGTGGACATCCGGGTTGGTGTCCCGTTGGGGAATCGGAATACACTCACAGAAGCCAAGTTGGTTGAGCTTCGGACAGATTATAGTGTGCCATCCTATGTGGGCTTGAGGTTACCTAGTGCTGCGGATGTAGTGAGATATCCTCCGGAGGGTTCAGTGATGATATTCACCGATATGTACCAGCATGGTCTCAGACTACCGTTTCATCCTTGGGTATAGATGATGCTGGCCAAGTTGGGGTATGTGCCGGGGCAATACAATCCCAACTTTTGGCTACTTCTGCATGGAGTTTACATTGCTTGGTGGTTGGTTGGGTTGGGGGAGCCAACATTTGAGCAGTTTATGTACTTGTATTCGATCTCCAAGCAACAGGGAACCTTTGGCTGGGTACAAGCCAATTGCCGGAAGGCAAAGGAGAGAGGTTATTTTATTGGGCATAAGCCGAGTACGCAGAAGTCTTGGCGGAACAGATGGTGCTTGGCCTATGGTGATTGGGAGTGTCCTCCCGGGAAGACCGTCTCCAGACACATACCAACCCACTTCCAGTCGATAGGTCCTTAGCCCCATCCCTTAAGACTAGTTGTGTTGTAGTGTTTTGACGCTTGAGTCTTTATTTATGTTTTATTGTTTTGCTTGTGCAAGCATAAATGGCTAAGTTGATATCTGAACTGTGGTGCAGGTTCGGTGAAGTGGGGACCGATCTCCAAGGAGCGAGAAGACGAGGTTGAGAGAGTGAGGTCACTGTTGTCGGAGACCCAGCGTGAGCGTAGAAACTTAGTCACCCAGAAGAACCTGTACGAGTCCGGACTCTTGCAAAGGAGTAAGTACCTGGGTCACTGTTGTTGTTTGTCTTATGATTCATTTGGTAGTTGAAACTGACTTGGCTTTTGATGTGCAGTGGCAGGGATCATAAGGGGGAGCACGAAGGTGGCCATGGATCTGGATGATCCCAAGATGCAGAAACGGCTGAGGAAGTCTCGGGCCAAGAAGGCAGAGAAGAGAGGTGCCCAACAGGCTGCTGGGAGGCGTCCCAGAGATGATGAGGGCCTAGTCTCTGATGTGTTGGGAAAGAAGAGAGCGCTGGAGGAAGCTCACCGGAGCGTGATGGGGACAGGGCCGAGGCTTCCTCCCTTTGACCCGCAGGCGCCGCCGAAGCTCCCCTTTGGTATGGATGATGTTTACGCCGAGGGGGTAGAGAAGGTGGACTTCTCTGGACTGCGTCGGCAGAAGAAGGAGGTGAACCTGGCCATGCATCGGCAGGAGGTTCCCTTGGTGAACGTCTTCCTGGAAGGCGTGAAGAGTGACCCAGAGGTTCTGGCGAGGACCCCGGCTACCTCCTATGCAGATCGGGCCCAGAAGACGCTCCTGACCCAAGCCTATGTAAGTTGGCTTGCCTTAAGACTTTGTTCATATAATTCGAATTTGCCTTGAAGTGATCATGTTGTGTGTTGCAAGCTTACGACGAGATGTACGTGAATATGGCCAAGGCGGATAAGGAGATCCAGAGGTTGAAGAGGCGCAATGAGATGGCCAAGGATAAGATAGTGGAGGCGCAGGAGGCCATCCAAGAGAAGAACACCCTGGTGCTGCAGAAAGCGGCGATGGCCAAGGAGATGGAAGAGCTGAAGCGGTCGAGGGCCGCCCGGGTCGAAGCGATCGAAGTCGTTACGGGGTTCGGAGGAGCTGAGGAGCTACATCATGGATCAGATGGTGGCGATACAGCTGGGTTGGGAGGAGAGGGTGGCGATGTTCAACCCTTCAGTGGAGATTAACTTTGACACGAGTGGCGAGCCTCCCTCATCTAGTCGTACCACTGATGCCGTTCCAGAGCCAGAGCCAGAGCCAGCCATTACAGATGCTCCATCGACCGAGTCCTGAAGGCGTTGCCTTCTTTATGTATTCTAACTTTTTAGTTTAAACACTTGATGTTTATTTTGATTATGTATGAATATTTTGCCTTGCCTGGGGCAAGGTTATTTTGATGTGCTATGATATGAGACTTGTTGTCATTTGATATCAATTGTGCTTAGCAAAATGGAAACCATGTGATTGATGAAAATGAGCCAGGGTCGGGCGTTCATTAAATATGTGCCGGAAGGCAAAAAGTACAAGAGTTGGTTGAGTCAAGGCTCGAGACCAAAGTATAAGAAAACATAATGGCCTAGAGTCTAGGTATGTTTACTTATAGTAGTACTTGAGGTGATCAGCATTCCAAGGATGAGGCAAGGTCTTGCCCTTGGTGTCACGAAGCTGATAAGTGCCGGGGCGGCAGACTTTGGTAACCTCATAAGGACCTTCCCATGTTGGGCTCAAGGTACCTTCAGTGGGATTCTTGGTGGCCAAGGAAAGCTCTTTTTCGGAGAGGGTCAACTTAGAGAAAAAGGGGTTTGCCTTCAGCAGGGAAAGGGTCTGGGCCTTCAATAAAGGCTAACCTGCAGAAGACAAAGATAAGGGAAGCAGTCGTCAAGCTCCGAGCACCGGTGTGGTGCCGGCCGAAGACTCTCCGATGCTTAAGTCAGCTAAGAAGGGTAACTTTTGCAGAGTAATAGTAAAAGGCAGAAAAGTAGTTACCCCTCTTACTAGGGTACTGTTCCCTTTTTATAGGGAAGTGAAAGTGGGAGGTTGGTGTAGATTTCCGATGTGGGACTCTGTGCAAGTCGCCGCGGTGGTGACACGTGTCATGAGAATTAGGTTTAACAGTTTGTGAGCTTTGGCAGTCGGGAGTTTCGGCAGGTGCTTGGCATCTCGGAAGAGTGTCTTCCTTCGGCAGGAGAGACTACCTTGGTTCTAGTTGTTTTGAGACTGGATATGCTCTGTTGATTATGGTGTAAACAAAGTGTGCTGAGCCATAGCTCCTCCCAAAGAACAGTAACGTTTCCCAGCTCATTTATCACAAGCTGAACATCCTGAATCAATCTTGGATATAGTTCACTCTGCATGTAACATGATTATGCTTAATTCAGTGGCGTAAAAGCAAGTTATAATACAAAATCTCAAATTAATAAAGATTATTTATACATAAAAGTAAGTAATTAGTGGTTTTGTTATTATTACAAAATGCAAACTTGTCATGTTACTGTGCTTTTCATTGTTATTAATGATAACCTCGCACTCCAGAAATTTCCTTACCAAACAACCAAGTATATGCTGAAGCTCCTCTGAGGGCTTCTCTTCATAAGCATCCACGTCAACTAGTGTTGGGTAGACAATGGACCAAGGAGATTGCTTGGCCAGCATCATCAGTAAGCCCTCCAACTGCTTCCGAACCACTTGCTCGGGATGAGAACTTAACCGAGCAAACAATTGAGGAGTTACTTCCTAGAAGTGGAGATTGTAATCAGAATGAAATCAAGTCATCCATACTAATAAAATAAAAAATTAGCATATAGGAACCTTACCTGCCAGGGTGACAAAGGAACAGTTGAAAGAGCAGGTTCAAGTATATCTTTCAACTCCGCTCCATATTTGAGAAGAATATGTAGGACATACAATGAAGCCCTCAGAGTATAGCTGCCAGCTTTTTGCTTCAGAGGCTCAAAATCAGAGTCAGCCATGCCACCATTGCAAATTTTAGCGGATGAATACGAAAGATACTTTATAAAGCCGTGAGCTGCATGCCCAAAGAGTGACACTCTTCTCCTCCTCAAAGACCACCAAACAACAACAAAATCATCAACTACAGAAACAATATCGGTTTCATTTAGGCCAAAATTTGCACGAAGAAAGCAGATCTTCAACTGAGAAGCTAGAGTAGCAGAAAAGCAATCGTCACTACAATCTTCTTCACCAGGTCCCCCAGAAACAGCTTCAATGACACTCACTACTTGCTGCACCAAAGCCATCACAGGGTTGTTATTTCTCAGTTCAGCAGAATCAAGAGAGTAGTTCGAATCTCCCTTCAGCTCTAAAACCCTTGTCATCCTTATTCTGAACGAGCTGAAAAATCAAAGATTCCACTTTTATGATCTCATCTTCAGTTAGCTTGAATCTCTCAGGCAGAACTTCACGAACAAGGATGGGAGAAAATGAGCATGAGTGAAGGGTATTTTCTTTTGGGGTTAAGAGAGATTCCTGGGCCATACTAAAACACCAAGAGGCATAAGAAATCCAGGATTTTCCCATAGTGGGACAGAGACGAGTAGACAATTTTGTAGCTGTACCCACAATTTCCTCAATGATAGGACCCAAAGGTGGTTTAGAGCTTAAGATCTCATCGCCAAATGAGGGCCTACCCCTTCCAGGAGAAGAGGAATCAGCCATCTCAAAGTCTGACCGCATATTAAGAACAATGTCATCTAACCCTAAATCTGAATAGTTTTGTTTAAGCCAATTTGAGAGTTTCAAGCATGCCTTGGCCTTCAGAATACTATTTTCAGCATCAGAAACTATAGACAGTGAAGAAACCATGCAAGGACGCACAAAAGACCAGTCAAAGCATCTTCAAACTTGTTTTCAGCATGCATTAGCAGGATGCCCTCATACTGCAAATTTGAGGTGAGAAAGTCATGGTGCCTTTCCCTGGAGCAACTCAATATGTGATCTTTGAGATAGTTGTTCAGACGGTTTGCCAACAGTAGGTTTTGTTGTTTGCGGGCCAAGCTCAACAAATTCATAGAAAGCTTTAGAGTAGAGGGAGAAGTTGGGGAAATGGTTTGATAAACTCGCAGAACTTTTAACCAAGGGTTACAATCTTGATAGACTCTACCCATTTGTGGATGCATAAGTTGGACATATGAACTTAATATTGACTGAAGTTGCCTGGGTTTATCTTGGTTGTCTTTAATCTTGTAAAATTCTTCAAATGCAATGATGCAGTGCAACTGGGTAGCATATGATGCTGCTTCTTCTAATCCATCAAGCGGCAGAATAGACAATGTTACCTCCAGCATTGACCTGGCCTTCTTTAATTCATGTGGCATCTTATCTTCCTTTCCCTCATTCTGAAGAAGCATTGCCTGTAAAAGCATCTGCTCACTTCTTTGCAAGGCCAATTTCGGATCAAGGGCGAGCTCACTGCTACTTTTAGGTGTCAAACCAAGGCATGCCCATGCTGCCTGAAATTCACCCTCATCATACCGTTCCAAGGCATGGATTGCATTAATTTCATTGCCCGTTGATGTGAGAGGACCGCAATAACTCTTCCCAGCATGCTTAGCACGAAGTGTTTGCAATTCTGATAACAAGGATTCTAAAGATTTCCAATCACAAACAGAAGTATAACACTCAATGATGCGTGCAATGACAAACTGTACACCATCAGAACCCAAGGAACTCAACAACTCCTCAGCCTGTAGCAAGTGAATAAAGTGCGCAGCAGCCTTTTCATATTTACCTTCTGCCTGATATACAAGCCCAGTGACCCATGTAAAGTGTCCCAACACCCTACTGTTACTCAGGGACTGGTTTTCCTCCACAAGAAAGGGAGCGAGTGTCATTGAAACCCATTTTTCCCAGGCCATGTAAAGCCTCTGATTCATGAGTCTTACACAGAGCCAATGCCATGTGCCGTACAACCCTCAAGATGTCTGCAGAAAATCTGCCCCTGATATTATGGAGGTTCTCAGTTACTTGTGACCTAGACTTTTCATTCAAAGCTGAAGCCACAAGATTCCTCAGATCCTGTAAACGCAGAGCACAATACTGAATTGTAGCATCATGGCATTGGAGAGCTAATCCAGCATTCATCATTGGCTCACAAATACGAGAAAACCACTCCTCACAGACTTTCTTGTTAGCTCGAAAGAATAAGGAACTAGAGCGAGTAGCAGACGGTAAAACAGCAGATCCCTCATATGCATTGTATACATTTTTCTTCAGCGCCTCAACAAAATCGAATAGTAACCTCATTGTTAACAAATGAGCACCAGATGACCCTATCATACTTAAATTCCCATCATTTTGCTCACTGTCAAGCATTAGCAGGTGTGCAACGTCCAAAAGCATTCGCTCTAATGCTGCAAAGGTCTGGGTTGGCCCACCAAGGTTAGTCCGAATGCGTGTGGCAATACAATATCTAGTAGCTTCATGAACAGCCCACCAGGCACCAGCCAGATTATTAACTGAGCAATGCTTTTCAAGAAAGTCTTCCTCCATTTTTATGTCCAACCACACACCAATGGCACCCAAATTTCCTGTTTCCTCAAGTTGAATTGGAAGGTCTTTTGAACTCCGACAACTATGAATAAGCCGTTGGATCCAAGAGGAAAGAGGCACCTTCCACCTTTGGGATATATAATGGTAACAAGTTGTTGCGAGTGAAGTTGCTGAGGGACCTGCTTCAAGGCAAATCCTTGCTTCCGTTGCAAGTTAGAACTGTTGCCGACCCGAAGAGCAACAGCCCTAGAAGAAGTAGATGTCCCATAATCATGAAGCCCACATGCATACAATGTAGTAGGCACAACAATAGCAAGCAACCGAACGAATGCATTTTTTATATCACTATCTGGATCACCAAGTTTTCCTAGGACCACTTCAGCCAAACAATAAAAGTAGCGAGGATGTATAATCCTTTCCTGCAGTAACAACTCCAATACTAATGCAACATGTGACCTCATAATCCCAAATGTAATGGGTTGTCCTGTTAAGGGAAAGCTTGGAGGCAATAATTTAAACTTTTGGAAAAACAATAATCCCAAATGTAATGGGTTGTCCATTAATCCACTAATAGCTTGCAAAAATATAATTAAAATGGAAAAACGAAAAACAAATACACTAGTAATAAGTTTATGTATCCACTAAAATTTAATTACATGGAGGCAATCTAACGGAACACTAATGATTTTTGAATCAAAACAACCTAGTTATATATAATTACTGAAAAAAAAATAATGACTCATTTTTCATGGCCAGAGAAGCGAGCAAAGGTCCTTCAACAAATTAAACATGTTTACGAGGTGTCACCAAGGCACAAAACGGTCCATAAGCAAACGAATTTTGGCCTCTGAAAGCGTAGAGGAATCCAAGTCCCTCTGAATCTGAGCCATTCTGCTGCTCTCTTTTCTTGCTTCTTTCAACACTTGTTCTTCTTCAACCTCATCATCACCTTCTCCTTGTTTGGCCTTTGATGAAAACACCATTCGCTTCTTAGCCCCCACCTTGTCTTTCAGCTTTGCCAACTCGTTCATCCAAACCTCCACCACTGCAGACATGCTTGAACTTGAAAACTTGAAATTCTGGCTTGGTCTTGACTCTTGAGTTTGATCAAGGATGATGAGGAGAGCTGGCTATTATGCTTGTTGGGTTATATAGAAGAGAGAGAGAGAGAAAGAGGGCCTTGCCCTTCATGTGGTTTGGATTGGATGAAAAATCAGTGTGTCACAGACAGCCGCTGGTTATAGGCTCGCACACAGGATTTAGTCAGGAATATTCCTTGGGAAGAGAGAGAGAGAGAGAGAGAGAGAGAGAGAGAGAGAGACTAGAAAGTGGTTTATGAGTTTTGTTGAGTGAATGAAAAGCTTCCCCGTGGGCGGGCGCACGGCATATTACTATTCATCAATAGTATTCCATTGCATCTTGGTTTTTCTTTTGTCTTATTCCAACATTGCAATTCTCTTTCTCTGAAATACCCATTCACCTCTTCATCGTCATCATCTTCAGTAAAAGTAGCCATCTTCATTATCTTCACAGCTGAAGTAGTCATGTTCCGAGTCTTGCTCATCTTCACATAGATCAATACAATTATCTCCATCAAGCCTCTCCTTAGCATCTTCCAAGTCATCGGATTCAGACTCACCATCTTCCGTAAATATAGACAGGTCTTCATCATCCTGTGTCATTACCAGGTGGACCCCGACGCTTTTAAAATATTGTATCAAATACTTAAACTTAACTCGACACACAAAAGGCGACTGCGGCCAGGTAATCTGATCATCCCGATAAAACATTTCTCTGAATTGAATATAGCACAGCCACACATGACCTTTCCTTATCTTTATCAAAGGGAGATAGAACTCAGTAAAATAAGGTTCCACTCCTGGTTGATTGACGGAAATTTTTGTAAAAATATCCTCGCAAGGTATTATATTTTGCGGGTTTTCAAAAGCAGCGTAAAGAGCCAATCCTTGGTTCTTGCATTTGAAGTTTGGAGGGATTTCAATCAAAAGTTCACATGCGTTATCATGCTCCTTCACATCCTTATGACACCTGAACAACGTCGAGAGGGCTTCAAAACTTGCTGGAAATACAACCTGAAATCCATGTTTCCGTGAAGACAGAAGTTGATCAAAGAAGAGTGTGATCTGCTCCTTTGATAAAATGTTTTGCTTCTTTGTGAGGTCAAGAGTCAGATTGCGGCACAGTCTGTGGCAATTACACAAGTCCACCAACTCAATCATTTGTAAGTCTTTTTTACCTTTCAGAATGTGGGACAATGATGAAAACCTTTCCAATGATACACAATCACTCGCGTCTAACTTTACTATTTTTGGTGGAAGTTCCGGAATATCTCGAAGCCTCTTGCAGCCATTCAAGTAAAGCTCCCGCAAATTGACAAATTTCGTAATGCATTCGGGAATACTTACAAGGAAATCACATCGTATTAGATCAAGTACGCTCAATGTAGACACACAATCAAGATTCCAGAGGAAATTAAATTCTGATAAATTGCTTCCTTCCAAAATGAATTCCTCAAGACTGGGAAGCGCTAAAGGATGTGATACTGCACTCCCCAAAACTTCAGACTTCACTTTATTTGGAAATGTAACAAGCTTTCGACTTCCTTGGAGACAAATGTGGTTTGGATGTTCCAACTCATAAATGCTGGGTGGCAGATTCGTAAGATTTTCACAAATGCTTATGTCTAAATATTCAAGACTGATAAAATATGCAATTGACGCAGGCAATTCTTTGATGCCACTACCACGTAGAAACATGTGACGTAAGGAATCCATCTTTCCCCCAATTTCAGGGAAAGTCTCCAGTCTTCTGCAATCTTGAAGATTGAGAAATTCTAGAGATTTTGACTTGATTATTGGAAATAGTGTGAGGTTATGGCAACTCTTAAGACTCAAGTCCACAAGCTTATCATGCAATCCAACAGAAGGATGAACCTCAACTAAACTTGTGCAGTAGCCTAGATTCAGGGACTGTAAGTTTGGAATTCCAGAGATATTTGGGGTTTTTGTTAGGAATTCACAGCTCTCAAAATTCATGGACGTCAAATTTTGCAAACGCTATATAAGACAAAAATAGAAAAGAAAAAGAAGGATCAAACGATAAGGCATAAACAAGTTTAAGCCATAACTCCAAAAACTTAATAAACTTCTGAAAATAAAAAGGGACGAAAATAATTTAAATTACCTTGAATCCCTCCCCAAGTTGCGATAAGCGGCTACAAGGCATATGAAGTTCAACAAGTTTCCTTGGATTGAAAGTAGATGGTAAAGTTTGTAGAGGACAATCAGGCCAATGAAGAAACCTCAACTCATTAGATAGATAATCCACGTGATCACCAAAAAATCGAGCATTCACATTGATGAAAAGTTGAAGGTTTTTCATCTTTGAGAAGCTGTCACCACTCAAGCATATGTCATCTGGTGTTGGAAACTTTGCTATGATGCCTTTAATATTGTTTGTTCCCTATTATTAAAAAAAAGAAAGAGTAGTGTTAACATACAAAGCTCTACAGCAAATAAAAATGCAAGTGTACACACACACACAGACTTACTGTTCCTTCTGTTAGAACACGATAAACATCCTCGTGAAACCACAATCTGCTACGTTCACCAGGCTCATTTGGCGACTCTTGATAAACTATTCCTCTACCAAATTCTTCAAGCAAGTCATGCATCTCAATTATGCCTTGTTCAGTATTTATGAGGGCCTTGTCTACGAGTACTTTAATAGCATACTTAGGCTTGAGGTCACAACCTTCCAGGATCGGTATCACATGGTTCACCTTTCTACCTTTAAAGAAACATGCTATGTCAAGGAAAACTTCTTGCACCGAATATCCAATGCATCATAGCTTATTTTGAGAGTTTTTTTAATGTCCAAGTGCAGATTCCCATCCAATGCATCATGCCACTCATCTATACTTCTACCACATAGATGAGAACCTAAAACCTGAGAGCTAAAGGAAGACCTTGAGCATGCTTCACCACAGTTTCTGCAGCTTTCACATAATCATCATCCAAATTTTTATTTCTCCCACCATTCCAACTAATGAAGAGATCAAGAGATTCACCAAAGTTTAATTTCTTGGCCTTGTATATTATACTAACTTGATGAGAAGTTAGCAAATGCTTATCTCTTGTCGTTATGATGATTCTACTGCCCAAACCAAACCAATCACAACCTCCAACTAAGTTGTTTAACTGGTCCAAATGATCCACATCATCTACAATTACAAGGACTTTTTTACGACTCAACCTTTCCTTTATCACATGATTCCTTTATCGGCACTGGTAACCTTTATTTCCTTTCCCCTTAGAATCTCATAAAGAAGAAGATTTTGTAGGTCGACTAGGCCTCCATATGGTATTGATCTTTCTCTTACATTTTCCAGAAAACAACTCCCTTCAAACACATGGGCCAGTGATTTATAAACAGCTTTAGCAACAGTTGTCTTTCCTATTCCACCATTCCCCCATATTCCTACCATGCGAACATCATTTCCGTCAACATCTAAAACTTTATGAAGATCTTGTACACGATCCTCTATTCCGACTTGGTATTTTGCCACATTGATATGGGTATCATTTAATACTTGTAAGGAAATCTCGTTGACAATGTTCTGAATAAATTCAGTTTCACGGCTGCCAATTTCAAGCACAAACAACATTTAAATAAAATGGGATTTTTCTATATATGTTTTAAAGAAGTGCTCGACTCGATACTAGTGTAAATTATGTCGTGAATCTATATATATAAAGCAAAAGGTAGAGAATGGTAAAACATTCAAAATACCAGAAAATGCCCTTGGTTAATGCAAACATTAGGAATTGAAATTATAGAAATTTAGTTATATACCCAATATTAGACATAGTCTTATAAAGAAACCCCATACTATTTAAAAAACTATAAACACACCCAAAAAAAAACCCCAAAATTGACAGCTGTCAAAATTTTCAATTTAATAGCTGTTTTTTAGTTTATTTGTGTGTTAAATACCTATATTGCCCTTGTATTATGGATTTGAGAGAGAAAAAAAAAAAAAAAAAAAAGCACAGATCTTGCAACAGATATTTTAACCCAAATCTGCCAAAAAAACCAAATCAAATTATATTTTCTCTCTTTCTTGTTGGTGCTTTCTCTGGTGTTGGAGCAAGAGAAGCTTCCATTGAAGCTCAGTCTCAGGTCCAACTATATTCTTCATCTTTAATCTACAATTTTCAATATTTCACCTTCGATTTCTTGTTCTAAAATCGTGCTTGTATTGATTTTTTTTTCTTTCGAATTGTTCAAGACCTCGAACGAACCTTGATCAAATGCTGTTAGCTCTACTCCTCATCTTCGAGATCTACTCCTCTTCGCCACGTCGTCGTCGTCATCATTGTCGTCGTCGTTATTTGGTTTGGACTTGAGATTTTTGATCTTTTGCTTCAATTATGTGTTTCTCTTCGGATTTTAGTTGATTTTCGTAATGTATTTTAAGATTTGATGATCGATTTATCTTTTATTACTATTTCAGTTATGGATCTTATTTTTGTTTAACAATGTACTTCTATTACAGAGTATTAACAACGTACTTCTATTACATAATAGTATTAATAATTTTTGCTCAACTTGCTTTGAGTTGGTCTGGTTTGTTCTTTCTTCATCTTTTCTTTGTTGGACATGTATTAGAAATAGCAACATGACAAACATTAATCAACATGATAGTAAACTAGCAGTGTTATTATCCTAGACTGCAACATTACATGGGTAGAAATGCATTAGAAATAGGATGTCATGTGAAACTAGCAGTGTTATTACCCTAGACTGGAACATTACATGGGTAGACATGCATTAGAAATAGGGTATCATAGGAAACTAACAGTGTTATTACCCTAGACTGGAATATTACATTCATTAATCAGCATGACACATTAATGAAGCTATGGTTTTCAAGATGTTTTGTTTGTAATGAATTGTTTGGGTCTTTTTTATAAAATTGGGTTGGGTTTGTTTTGGGTGCTATTTAAATTTATTGTGTTGGACTTCTTTTTTAAGTTGATCAATGGCAATCACGTAATTTATAGAAACTTAAACACCAATTTCTTATGTAGTAAATGAGTTTTTGGTGTGTTTTTAAAGTGCATTCCATGTGGGGTTTTTTTTTAAATTTCAAACCCTATTTTGGGTATATTAGTGAAGCTCCCTTGAAATTATTAATTAAATGAGGATAATATAGTAAATTCACACTTTTTCATATTAAAAAATTAAAAATTAAAAAAAAATCAGATAATGGATCCTATTTTTATGGAACACAACTACCCATATTTTTTTTTTTTTTAAAAAATAACTTATTTATAAAAGAAACCTCTCGCAAGGGCTGAGCGAGCGCGAGGCTAGTTTAGATTACGGAGTTACTTCATCATGATATTTGATATGTTCTAGATACTTCTTCTTATTAAAATATCGGTTTATTAGTTAAAAGTTGAATTCAATATCCATAACTGTCTTACATTTATCAAGAAGAATAATTAAATGAGGGTTTTATAATCAACATAGGGAAGAGCTGTTTGGTAGGTATCTAAGACTAATAAATCAATTAAGTATTTTGTTCTTGGAAATTATGTAATTTATGGACAACATTTTATATATGTTTGTTGCACGTTATCATATACCATAGGCTTAATTTTTTCAGATCCTCTAGGTGGGATTGCCTCTGGACTCTGGAGAGAGAGAGAGAGAGAGAGAGAGAGAGAGAGAGAGAGAGAGAGAGGAAGGTGGAGGTCATTAGAGAGGACGGAGTGCGGCTGTGTATGGCAGGGATGGGTTGATTTGAGAAGTTATTTTTTTTTCACAATATTAAACCCAAATAAATAAGTTAGGGAAAGTACATCAAACATGGTTTTCTTCTTCTGTCTTACACTCCCCTTCTATTTTCTCACTCTATCGTTCATCAAACATGTTACTATTGTACAAGATTTTCATGTTGTCTTTTGTCTATTTTTGCTCATTTTGCTTCAAGATCTTGAATTTGTCGTTTGGTGGTTGAGAAATGAAGTGCAGAAAATATATCTAATCTGTAGTTTCTATTCATTTTCGGTACTTTTGATTGCATATCTTGAATTTATATTGTTTGATGGCTGAGAACATGTGGGAAAAACAAAATATTAGAAAATACGTGACCAAGCTATGATGTTAGGGAAAACATGTGATGGAATGGACACTACGATAACAATAGAAGAGATTGGTTTTCGTAACAGAGTGATTTTATTAGAAAGAAGAGAAATACACTGCTTGGTGTAGAACTATAGGCCTTTCAGTGATGTAACTATTTGCTACTTAGTGGGTTTGTAGGACTGCAGGATTTTATCCAACAAAAAAAATAAAGGACTGCAGGTTGTGTGAGGCTTAGATATAAGACTAGTGTTTGGCTTTCTAGTAGATTTCTTAGTTACAATACACATTACAACACTTCAATCCTGCCGACTTGACCAACCGCCATGTGTACGACTTAGCCATGTCTACGACTTGGCTTTATCAAATATTATCAGCCATATATTTCTACAAAGCTGCGGCTTGCTTTAGACCAGAGCATTCTACAAAACTCTATATGTTTGTGGCTATTTGTTTAGCCGGCAAAGTTCACCGACTTGGTCATTTAGTCCAGTAGCTACCCTTTTCTAGATATTTGATATCTATTATAGCACTTCGAAATTAAAGCAGGCAAATTGAAATTAAGGCAGAGCCTCCGGATCCTAAATGTATATTAAAGATAGAAATATACCGCATTCAGAAAAGAAAAAAAATATAAATAATTATAAATAAATAAATAAAACATACCCCTCCAAGCAATGCGACCCAGACAAATTTGCAGCTTCTGTAAGGGTTTCCTTCCATCTCAGCACCTTCTTCATATTGTCCTCGAATTTACTTTCATCATGGTTAGTAAGTTTCTGTTTTCTGAATTTGCGTTCATGGTTATTCAGTGCCTTGCCATAACTACCTCTTTGGTTCCTTACATCTGAGGGATCGACTTTGTAGAAAACTGGCCAAACCATCTGTTTCTTTGACTTTCTACACTGAATGATATGAACAAGTTCATCCAAGCACCACTTGGAGGATGCATAGTTTTTTGAGAATACGACGATGGAACACCTCGATCCTTCAATTGCATCAAGAAGTGCTTGTGATATTTCTTCTCCTCTTGGGAGCTCATCATCTATGAAGGTTCTGATGCCCCTCTGGACCAAATTTTTGTGCAGATGGTCTGTGAAATTGTAGCGTGTGTCCTCACCTCTAAAGCTGAGAAACACATCGTGGGTCCATGAATTAGTGAAAGAAGAAGAAGAAGGGGAAGGAGCTCCTAATAATTGAGTGGTGTCTAGATCCATATTGTTGAAAATTGAACAGGCTGAAAGGGTTGGAAATTATAGTGATTTATTGTCCAAGGGTCTCTGGTTGGCAATGCCAGTGGGGAGAAGAATAATCAATCGTGTGAGTGAAAAGTCTTCGTCTGCTGGGTCTCTCTAGTCTAGACCCGAGGGACAGTTTTAATTTTTTTTAATTTTTAATTTTATATAATTATTTAATCAATAAAATAAAACTAATTTGTTACTCTTTCAAAAGTTTTCCGTGAATGGCGGAAAGAAGAACCACCTTCATTAGTGGTTGAATCCATCTGATTGCAGAAAAGGATGAGACATCGATGTTGGGAAAGGCTACTTTCCTTTGTTATATATTAGGTGTTTACTCAGTGCTCCGCCATTTGCTTGTAT